TTTATATTTAAAGCTCCATCCTTTTTTTTCTTTTCTTTCTCCATGGTTCAAGACCACTATCCCTCTTTAATGAGTCGAGGACATAGAAGTTTAATGTCTTCAGCTCTAGCATGAAACACATCCAATGATGGTTCACAAGAGTTAGATCGAGGATGAGATTACATTCAGCTATATTGTATCCTACATATTTAGACAGGATATCCATCTTGTTCTTTGCTGCCTTCCAAATGAGGGGATTTGATGTCATTTTGAACTATAAACAAGAACACATTATGTTACAAATTACAAAAAACAAAACATAGCAAACGGGACATTTTAAATTTAATTTCACTGGAAGCTAACCATGAAGTTAACATCAAATATATGATGATGGGCTGGACCTGAATCCTTGATATCACCCATTAATGCATAGCACAACATAGTCATGAACTACAACCATCAAGGAGTTCATGTAATTTTACATTACTATGTGTAAATTATAAAAAACAAATTTAAACATAGTCTCACCCTGTTGCTAATCCACTGCATTCCTCCCAAACATCGAAGTTCATCATGAGTGAGATATTGATCATACATTTCAACCAAGATCCTGAAATAAGGAATAATAAATAACTTCTCTTAAATTGTTGGAAATGAATGAAAAATTAGGTAACAAAGACTACTTACTCATCACCTTCCTCCTTTTTACACATGTGTGATACAATTGAAAATAATTGTTACTTTTCATTAACCTCCTTCTTCGTCCTATTCACCGACTTTGATAGAACCTAAGGTTAATATTTTTTGTCCTTATAGATCTCCTAATTCATCATTTACCATTAGCTTCTTTAACTTCCTCGTTTGATATTTCCTCTCTATCCTCTTCTTAGAAAGATATATGAATTGGAGATGACAAATTATCAATTTGTTCTTCTTCCTCTTCTCCTCCTTTATCACCTCTACCTTCCTTTTCATCATTATCATCTTCTTCGTCTTCTCCTTTATTTTCTTCTTTTTTCTTCTTCTTCTTCTTCATCACCTCCATATTCTTCTTTTCTATCTTTTTCGAACTTAGAATTTGCCTTGTCATGTTCTTCAAATTCGAAGACCGGCTTGTCTTCATTACCATATCCCACCCGGTAATTTTCTTCCTCAACTTCAACACTTGACTTGCCTTTCCCTTTTAATTTTTGTAAAGCTTCCCTTTTTGTTTGCTCCCTTTTAAATGCATATTCTACATAAGTAATTAATCTTTGGTGGTTTTTTTCAATAACCCCCATCACTGTTGAAAACAAGTCCTTTGATTCCTACATATTTATAAAATGTAAGTAGAAAAACAACTTGTTTTACATGCTATTTTGTCCAAAACAGTGAGAAATGAATACCGAGTTTAGATATGATGTCATTGGTCTCTTCTTAGTGACGGTAGAAATGGGCTCTCCTGTAAAAGCACCATAAAGCAGCCTAATATTTTTGTCTCTCTCTTTTTGTAGTCTTTCCTTGGCTCTGCCATCGTTCTAATATTGGACAGCATTTCTTAAGCCATGGTCATTTGTTTTGACCAATGGGAAATGCTAAAAAAAAATAGATCTACAAGAACATACATATAATTATCACATTGTACTTAGTATGAATGCATTATGGTGAAAGAATACCATAAATTCATTTATACATATCACTAAAAAGTACAAGCATCCTCTAACGTTTGTAGTCCTACCCTTCTTCTTTTTCCTCATTTGTTTCAAATACTCTTCCAACTCGTCACACAAATCATCTAATATGTACCTTGACCAATTGAAGCCTCTCAGTGCATTCTTGTTGCAATACATTACCTTAACCGTTCGCTTACTAACATTGACACTAGCACTTGGACATAAAACTATTCCCAATGTATACGACAAAAATAAAAACTCAAGTTTTCATCCTTTTCTCCTGATTTAATCAATGCCAATATCTTCTTATATGGCATTTATAATATTTTTCCCTTAACCTCAAGAATGCTTTCTCTTAGTCATCCACCTTTATTGACACCCTATCCCCACTAAAGGGTAATCCTATCAATGTGTGAACATCTTCTACTTTCATTTCTATTGACTTCCCTCTAATGTGAAATTGACGGATAGGTGGATCATATGAAGATATTAATTAAAAATAAAGGTCTCAAGGGAATGTTTTCCATTGAATATGAAGCAACACTCCAAACCTGATGTTCTTTACCCTCATTTTTAGGTTCTCATTCTCTTTCACAAACTCTGCAAGCTCCATAAACTGCCTCACAGAGCACTTTATGTGAAAAGGAACCTTGTATTTACCTTTTGCAACATGTCTATCAACTTTTAATTACCTAGCCTTCTTAACATACTTGGCTTTTTTAGCCTTTGGAAACCCTTCCCAAGCCTTGAGTTCATCTCTTATTCTATGTTTCAGCCTCATTTTCTTATACTTATCTTCATTTTTCTTGAAAAAGTCCTTCTTAAAAAGACTTAACGCATTCACCATCTTCCCTATATCCTAAATTAGATCCATGTAAAGAAAGCTTAAACATAATTACTGCTTTAGAAAGAATATACATAACTTGCTATGAAAGCCTTTTTAGATCAAATCAATTATATATGTGGATCACATATATTTTTTACAAAATATATAACAATGCTCAACAAAGTAAGGACTAAGGAAAAAAATTTCCAAACACAAAAATGTAAGAGGTAAAAAAAATAAGAAAAAAAAGAAAAAGAGAGGGTGGGTGTATAAGTTGAGTTGACACTTATCTTGCTGATAGAGGGATAGGACTAACTAGCTTCTTGTGTTGAGTAAAAAGGTTCACTAGCTGTGACCCATTCATTAAAAAGAAAATTAAATATACAAAGGTCCTACTTCTTTATAAGAGGTCCTATAAGTCCTAACCTACTCATTATACTTAGTTATGGCACCAAGAGGGGTTTTTATGTTTCAGTGTTTGCTGCCATCTATAAATATTATATACATCACAATTTCACTACAAGTCATTCAAGGTATCTAATATCTCTTATATAGATATAGAAAAAAAAAAAAACTAGTTGTTAAGCTTTATATCAATTACGATGAGCATACTAACTAGGATCTCTCATTCAAAACATCCATAACATATTATCCATATCAATTAATATATCCTTTATATAGAGTGAGCATACTAAACATCCTTGTACTGATATTGATAAGAAGACTGCTAAAGTTAAAATTAGAATGTACAAGTGAAGTTTCAATATCCCTTATATAGAGTGAGTTGAACTTGAAGAGACAACTCTTTCGTACCCTTGCTTTCAACTTTCAAGTACCTTCATTCACTTTATAACATCATTCATCCCCTCACCTCAAAAAAGAAAGGTACGAATCAGACTTTAATCGGGGTTCATAGCTTAGCTACAAGACCTTTTACTTGATCAACTGAAGTTTATTTACTACATAATTTTTTTTTAAGTTTTCAGTTTGATTTTCTTTGGTGCACCAACCAATTTTAAACCAAACAATATCATGAAACTTGTTTATGATCAACCCATTTTACAAACACCAGATTCTTCAATTTTCTTACCTGACTTACTATATATAAGAACCTTAAAATGAAAAAATCTATTCATTTCTTACTTAAGTCCTGAGAATTATCTTGTAAAGACCAGTAACCAACAAAGAAAGCAATGCCCCAGTGCAAAATACACGGACTATTCTACAAATCAAAACCCTAAAAATACAAATGCATTAATAAGATGATGATCTCATTGAGTAGGAGTGCACATCATTCAAGTTCATTTTGGACAGTTAGAGAAAACCTTCGGATAATAGAGAGAATACAACAGATCATGTATAACTTATGCACAGCATCTAGCAACCATGGATGCTAATAAGTCGAAGCTTTAGACCCACAAATCATATATAACCACAAATTAAAGGTTCAAAACCACAGACCCACAAACACAAACCTACAATTATTGAAGTGAGAAGAGAAAAAGAGGAAGAGTGGGACGAGGCGAACCAGAATCAAGTGCGATTGGGGAAAAAGGGAGGGAAGTTGTTGGACTCACGATGACGACAACAGCAAACCCACTAAGACAAGCAAAGAACCACTGAGACACACACAGTTGAGAACTAAATAGCAACAGCAATGATGAGCTACGCCCAAAACCACTGAAAACCAAATACAAACACCAAGTACCACTATCGGGCAACAATCATGCTGACGGTGAGATGGTGACGGAGACACACAAAGCTAAGGCGAGAAGTGGGGGTGGAAGACAACATAGAGCATAGATTGAAATCAAGGAAAATGATGTTTTTTTTTTAATTTGAACAAAGGGAAAAATCATCATTTCTTTAAATTCTCTAATGACATAAACATCCTTTGGAACTCTAAGGGAATTATATCATTTTGTGGGACTAATTTGTCAATCACATAATTTTAAAGGACTTTACTGCCATTTTCCCTTTAATGTTTAATAATAATTTAAAAATAAAAAATAATTTTCATGAAATATTAAATTTTAACTATTTAAAAATAAATAGTTGAGAAGAAGAATGGAGAGAATGGAAAATGTAGAAAAAGTAAAGAGAAGGAAAATGGAGAGAAACTTCGAGATGGAGGGAGTATGGGCCTGTTTAGCAATTTATTTTGGGAACAATTTTTTATTCTTTAGAACAAAAGAATAAAAAAATTTGTTTGGTAACGTGCCTTCAAAATGTGTTTTAGAAAACAAAAAAATAAAATATTATTTTGGAGAATAAAAAAATAAAAACAACTTTCAAGTGTTCTAAGATTATTGTTCTAGAGAATAAGAAAGAATGAGAAAAATACCTATTTTTATTACTTTTTATTTTTAAAATATATTTTATAAAACATCAATTTTTAAAATATTAAAATAAAAACAATTTCGAACATTTCTTTAAAAAAAAAAACGTCGTCTGTTTATCTCTCCCTCACTTCTCTCTCTCTCTTCCAGCTAATAGTATCCCCCTCTTTACTCCTTTCACGACCATCTTGTCCCCCTCTCCCTCCCCCTCTCTCTCTCTTGCAAACATTTGATTTCCACAGAAAGAATAATGCAGATTCTTGACAGATACCTCCTTGTATTGGAAGCAAGAAGCTACATTTGCTAGATCCAACCTCTTCGACACTCCAAGTTTAGGAAAATGGGTGGCCTTAGAGAATCATGGTGTTTCTGCAAAGGGGTGAGCAAGTCCGAGAGAATGAAGGCCGCCATTTTCTCCGGTAAAGCTCAGGCCATAGCCACAATCTCCACCGCCGCTGATGGGATCTCCGCTGCCGGATTCTTGATCCACCGCAACTTGCTTTTGACTACCCATGCTAATCTTCCCTCCGTCGCCGCCGCCGAGAGCTCCGAGATCCGCCTGCAAAACGGCGTCGGTTCAACTCTTGTCCCTCACAGGTACCCATTTCAGGTTTTTCCCCTCTTTGGTCACGTTTGCTTTCAAATTGATGAAAATGGTGTGCGGAGAATAGAAGCAATTAAGTGGAACTGACATTTATGTTATTTGTTAGTCCTATGAATTTTGGAGGCATTTACCCAGTTAGGCTCTTTTATTTGTGACCTCACAAGGCTCTTTAGTGTTACTCGTTGGTTTCTCCAACCTCTTATTTACTGTAGTCTGTCTCTCGCCAATTAAATGAAGTGTTGAAGTTGGACTTTAGATAGCAGCGTCAATTCGACCGTGGCATATCTAATGATAAATGGTTGTTCATGAATTTGTAAATTGCGGTCTAATAATTAATGGCATAGACTCGAAGTTCTAAATTTCAGCTTGGACAATCTATCCAATGTTTTGAAACTCGGATTGGACATTGAACTAGAAAGAGTAAAGGGTCATGGTTTCATAGTTCAACCAGTTAGACTAATGGTTGAACCATTGACCTAAAAATTAAATAAAAATAATATTTATATATATAAATATATAAATAAAATATTAATTTGTCAATGGTGCTTGGGATTTTGACGCCAAAGGCTAGATGTCTGGACTGTCGGAATTGGAGGCAAAGGCTTGTCGGCACAAACTTGTGATCTTGAAGCAAAACGCTAGAGTTGGAGGCTCCCATCATGTCACGACTCGTGAGGTTTCAATCTCGATGTCGATTGCCGAAGGCTGCATTGTTAAAGCTGGGGGCAAGGGCTAGAGGAGAGGTTAAAGATTGAGCCAGGACTGTGGAGGAAAGATGACAGATTAGAGAAGAGAAGACAAAAGAGAACTAGATATTAAAAAAGAAAAATCACGAATCTGAATGACTTAGCCTAAATTTGCAAAAGCGGCCTAAATGGTTGAGCCAAGCCATTTTGTTGAGAGGTCAACAATTGGACCAGTCGGACCATCTGGTCTAGGTTTCAAAACACTGACTCTATCTTAAATGAAATGTTGTGTCTATGCATGAAAATCAAAAGGCAAAGAATGATATGAAAGTTACTATCTACTATGAAGCATTACAACAATTAATCACATAGGGAAAAAACACTTCACTATTAGATTCTTTCTAATTTTATCATAAATAATATTCAATTCTATTGGGGTTTATAACAGAAAATGCCTGAAAAGACACAGTTTCTTATAGTTTGTGTTTATGACACAGTCCATTTTTAAACCCTGATTTAGTTATATTAATGTTGTTCAATTAAGAGACGTGTTCTATAAGTTTTTCCAGATACCAATTGATTTGGTTGGGTTGGTCTGGGTATTATTTTAACATATATTTGACTTCCTGATTACATAATGGAATCGAAGTTTCCCAGTGAATGGTGCTTCATAGACTTTGTGGTTACAATCATGCCTGTCATTGATAGAAAGTCCAATTCATTATCTTGTCCAAAGTGTCGTATACTTAATTTCATTTCCATTTGTGATGAATTTTACTCTCATGATACATATTCACGTATTTTCCCACTTGATTACGCAATCGCTTTGCCGATGTCCTCTCCTTTTAACTTAAATAGCTCATGCATTTATAGCTTCAAGGGCTTCGTAATGCTAAGTGGAAGTACAGCAGTTAAAAAATTTGTTGTATAATTGATATTGACTAACTAATGTGTGTGTGTGTGTGTAGAAAATCAACTCGCATTAAAGGTACAAGTAAAAAATGATGTTAACATGCCATAAATCACTACAAGTACTTGTACCTAAATTATAAAATACATCAATCTTTTTTTTTTTTCATAACTATAAAATACATCAATCTTTAACAAACTTTTGTAACAAAGCTTCAGAAATACTGTCATACTAACTAAATACTAAGTCATTCACCTTTGGTTGTCCAAAGGAATGATTGCAGAACTTTACAGTGGCAACCCTTGCAATATCTCTTAAATTAGGGCTACCATTGCCCTATTCATATGTATTGCAAGATACACCTACCACTGCCACCAACAAAACAGAACAAAACTCTTGTAACTCATAAGCTAAATGAAATTGCAAAGCTTCACAAGCGGCATAGTGCCTAGAGCCATATTGTAGGATTTTTAGATAACTGGTTTGACTTATAATTCATATATCAAAGGTAGCTATTACGTTGGCATGGATCAGCTTAGGTCATCTATGGATAATGAATTCTTATTACCTGCTTTTGTTCAGAAAGTTTAACTAATATGCAAAATTATAGGTTACATTGTCTTATATGGATAACCAATTCTTATCACCAAACATGCACTCACTCACTATTTCAAGTTAGTCTTCTTGCTTATGTCATAAAAATGGAGAACAGTTGCATGTTCAGTACTTCACCGTGGCTGCGTAGTTGAAAAATAGTCAAAATAGCTCTTGGCCATCTGTGATTATTGGTGGGCAATTAATAGTCCTGAGCTAACACAACACGTTTCAGTTCATGCAGCATTGCCCATTCTAATAGTGAGTCTTTTTTTTTTTTTAAAGTAAATTAAGTGAGTCACAATGATTGTGCATTCCTGAGACTTTCTTAATTGGTGAAAATTAAAAAATGACAATGCTTCGCTCTCCTATTGTACATGACTGAATGAAGGAAGTGGGATCTGTATTAGGCTCTATGACTGATGCTGCTACCCTTCAACTGATTATATTATGAGCAGTGCATTTATTGTACTTGTTCGAACTTTTCAGGTTTTTCATTACAAGCTCTGTATTAGATCTTACAATAGTGGGTATAGATGATGCGGATGGGGAATCAAATACCCAGGTTCAATGCCCTCCCTACCTGAAGACCTGTTCCAAAGTTAATCTGGATCTCGGAAGTGCAGTTTACCTTTTGGGCTACACAGATAAACAAGAGCTTACTGTTGGTGAGGGAAAGGTAGTCATTGCGACCGATAATCTTATAAAACTGTCAACTGATGGGATTGTATGGAGGCCAGGATCTGCTGGGTTTGATGTACATGGGAATCTAGCATTTATGATTTGTGATCCAATGAAATTATCCTCATCTCCAAATACTAAATCCTCTTCAACTTCTTCATCATCCTCAACCTCTTGGAAGAAGGATCTCCCTATGCAGTTCGGTATCCCAATTCCTGTCATATGTGATTGGTTAAACCAGCATTGGGAAGGCAGCCTTGATGAGCTTAACAAACCAAAATTGCCAATAATTCGGTTGATGTCTACCGGCCTGAAGAGTGAGCATTCATGCACTTCCTTCACACAGCGGCAGGTTTTCAAGTCAACAGAGGCTGACAATAATGATGGCACCGGGTCTTCATCAATTAACGTGTCAAAGACAAATGATCGAGGACCAAGCTCTTCTGCTGCTGCAGTTAACACTGTTGAAGAGACTTTGATCACAAATCCTAACACTGCCCATGTCCAGGGAATTCCCACTCCAGAAATATATGAATCACCAAGATTAACTTCTAATCCTTTGAGGAGAAAGGACAATATGCCAGTACAGCTTTTGGATATCAATTTTCCCCCAAGGATTACCAAACCTACGGGTTTACAACCGTCTCATCAAGAACTGCATCCACATTGTACCAAGGAATCTTTATCAGACAACCAGTTAGAAGGAGAACAAAACCAAAACAGGAGACCAGCAACTCCTGTTGTAGAGGTTTCCTCAACGGGTTCTGTGAATGGAGCGCCAAGCGAGGTTCAATCTAGTTCGTCACCGATGCAAGTATTAGACATGCACCACGAATACAGCAGCGAAGAAGAGACCATGTACTCTGCAGAAACTGCCGAGAGTCGCAACTATACAAGCCCCAGAGAGGTGAAGTTTCAATCAGTAAGAAGGAGCCAGAGTTGTGTTGGTTATAACAGATGGGGGTCTCACCTAAGGAATCCAGCAGCACGCAGGACGATGCTAGAAAACCAGAGGAGCTTCATCAATGGGAAAAAAATGTATTCACAAGGGGCAACTTCTCAGAGGAGTAATGACTACTTCAGCCCCACTGTATCCTCCATCATGAAGCGCAACAACATGGATAATACAGTCAGACCCCGGCAAACTTCTGTTCATTCTTCACCAAGATGGCTGTTTTGATATATACATGATGATATATTGATACCCCCGATCTCCGGAAAGCATTAGAGAGAAAACAGTAGAAGAGTATAGTTTTTTTTCATCTTGTTTTTCTTTTTTATGAATCAATGGGCCCATCTGATTTCCTTATTTGCACTGTAACTACATTTTTTGGAACAGATGCAAACACTGGTTATGGTGAATAAGAAAATTTCGCTCAAGATGTAGATTTCTTCTAAATGAATGAGTTCTTTTTCCTTTCTTTTCTTTTTTTCTTTTTTCTTTGTTTTTTTTTGGTCAGTAGAATGAATCAATTTGATATTGAGCAGAATGGTGACTCCAAAATGTATTATTATGCAGGGCTAAAAGTAACTAGAGTTTTAGTTGCCAATAGAGAGCTCATAATATTAAATTTGGTTAATACCATACGAGAGGTAATGCATGAACTATGGAACCAAAGCGCTACGCTCGTCAGAAAGACTCAAGGAGGGTCCTGAGCATGTAAATGGATAGGTTGTCCACCTCACTGAACTTTTTTTTTTTTTAAAAGAACAATGGCTTTAAAACAAAGTGATACCAAAGTTGAACTCACGTTTGTCCAATGGGCCTTTCAATAGGCCACCCGTGACAAAAGTGTCACGGATTAACCAAGGGAACTGTCATGTCTCAATCAGAAGAACTTGGAGAAAGTTTAGAGCATATAAGTGGTGAACTAGCTTTTTAAGAAGAAAGTAACAATCCCATGGTAAAAAAAATTCAAAATTTATTAGCGTACACCATCTTTGATGCTGTGATAATATCTCTTTAAGAAATTAACCTCAAAAATAAATAATTAATGAGATGTGAAAAGAAGTTTTATATTACACAAATGAAGTGAATCAAAGGTTTATAATTGGAAAGAGCACATGAATTTAATATTATGTGATTTATGATTAAATGACAATGTCAAGCACATTTGTGATTTTAAAGAAGGTTGATAAAATAAAAATTTTACTAGACTCTAAGACTTTATTGAGTTTTAACAACAATAATCATTCATTTTATTGTTATTGAACAAGAAAAATGTATAAAAACTCAACAAGTGAAGTCATGTTCACATCACCATATTAATTAATCCAAATGACAGTTTCAACTACTCAATCTAATTATTTTTACCAAGATACAGAACAAGAAAAAGATATGAAATTTATCAACATATGGGAATCTTTATTGGTTTGGATCCTTGTTGAGAGCATAGATACAGAAAATTTTTATTTGTAGTGACTCAGTTGAAGCTTTGACATTAATTGACAAAAAAAAAAAAAACCAAGCAAACCAAACCAGCTAGCAATTATAATTTTTTTTATATATAAATTTAGGTGAGTTAAATCTCAAAAAATTACTAAGATCAGAACGTGCCTCTAAACTCATAAAGGATACTAAAAAACAAGATGTCTCCCAAAGGCCATTAATTTTGATGGTCCAATCAAGTGTGTTGTAAATTGTAATTTAGATTTTACTAATTAAGCCGCATTTATGAAATGCGTTTCTCTACCAACTTATAAATTCATATTAGAGTATGACGACTAACGAATTATCCACAAAATATTTGAATTTGATATGTTCAAAGTTCAAATAAGGAATAATTATCTAGTTTCATATACCCTGCATGAAACGGTAGGCTTCAACTTTTCATACTTTAACTGGTTAAGGTGCAAAACTGAATCAATCATGGAAAACATACTTGTAGCTGTAATCATGACAGATTATCGGAGATAGAATTGCAACAATAGCTTATTAATAGTCACTTAATCGTTCATGAACAAAAGGTGTTTAGATGAGTAGGCTAACCAGAGCATCTTCAACACTAGCCAATATGCATTCATGTCAGTGCAAACTCAACCATGAAATAGCAAGCTTTCAAGTCATTATGATTGGATTAAATTAAACATATTTTCCAGTAGTAGTAGTATTATGTGTAATTCTCTTCAATACCCATGTAAACCTTTCACGGAAGAGATAGAAAAATCAATTTGTATAATAGTGCAACCCTTTTTCTCATTCACCCATGTATGGGAACACAAAGTAACACAAAGCCATCTTTTTGATGTCACATGCTAGAGAACTTTTACTAGAAGGGGAAAAAGCATGAACTTCTAACATCTTTGAGCAAAAGACCAATTACAACCTAGCATCTATAGCAAATTCTCAATACACTTAAAAACAGGCTTCTATTGGCTCAAAGTGAGACCCTCAGTAGCACCTAATTGAAAACTGAATAAGCAGATTCACTGATAACAAGGCAAAGCTAATTAAGTAGTGAAATTAATTCACACCTCATCCTCATGAAGAAGCATGTTTGGGATTCCCTTGTTGACGGGGAATCGTCGTCCAGTTTCTGGGCAAACAAGTGCACCTTCTTCAAGGTGAAGTTCCAAAAGAGCGTGATGAAACCTGCTGAGAAACTCATCAGATTCGAGCATGGATGGGTTAACTTCCTCTGGCAGTTCAGTGTAATCCATGGCCCGAGACGCATCAACAAATGCCTTCCACTGTATCTTCTCAAACATCGTTTTCAGAAAGTCAGCATTCATCTCCACTGTCTTTTCTACCACTTTCTCTGCTTCGATGCGCAATGGGAAGCCATTCGTCACACCCTTTATGTTGGATGATAGCATATTGTGCGTCAGCAACCTCATCTCTACTAACTACAAGTGTATAAGCAGCAAGCAGAAGTTTCACTGTTATTTGGAGACCCAAGTGCCTTTGGCCACAAATTTGCTGGGTTAGGGTGGGGTTGAATAGACCTAATCATGGGTCAGATTCGTGGAAAAAAATGTAAAAAAAGGCCTGTGATTTAAAAATAATAAGTGGAAAAATAAAATTTATGCAAAAAATCTGCAACAAGAACAATTGGATTAAAGAAAGAAGCGACAATACCCAATACCATTAAAAGCTAGCCTACAAGAAAACATCTTAACATTTCAGAAAAGCAATTTATTGAAGAGACTAGCACATATAAAAAGGACGTTATACACGATTTCAGCATATCAAAAGAGACTAGCACATGGTCGTGGTCCTTGTCGTCAAGTTAAACCAAACCACAGCAAGAGTAATCATTATCAATCATCATCCAGACTCTGACCCATATTTCTTTTTGAACCAGTCGGACTAATATTTCTACATCTAACTGAGATGCACAAACAGCAAATTCAATAAGACTCAGGCCTAAGTTTCGAATCAAGCCAAGACACAGCAAGCAGGGACCACTAGCAGAAATTTAACAAGTTTTCAGACCACAGAAAGACAAAAGCTGAAATTTACTTAAATTTCACAACAAACACATACATAATCAACTATTTATCGAAACCAAGATTAATATGACAGTTTGCAAATAAAGCTTTTTAATATAATTCAGACATTAGAACTACAGATGCCCGAGCCATATATTCTCCCCCCATGCCCAAGCGCCCATCACTTGATTTCAAAACCAGTTTCAAGCAATCAAAAGTTTCCAGTGGCCCAAAAAGAAAATCCAACAGTTACATCCTTACGCTAACTTTAATACATATGTATGTGTGTAAACGGAAACCATAACTCAAAACTCAAATGTGTAATGAAGCTACAATAGCACGAGGAAAAAGGAAAGGAGAAACCAAAACTCGGACGAGTTGCCGCGAACAAGTGTCATGAGAGTGAAAAAGCGAACAAGAAGAGAGAAAAAGAAAGACGAAATATCTACCTGATCTACAGAAGAGAACAGAACGAAGAGTATTTGCAAACTCTGAAGCTTATCGACGTCCGGCGGAGCGGTGAAACTCCGAACTCCAAAAGCTGCTTGCTAAGCGCCGTCTAACAGTCTGAGATGCTCTAAGGGTTCGGACCCTCGAGAGTTTATTTGTTCAGCTAAATAATAAATTCTTAAAAAGTATTCAAATACTTACGTTAAAGTTAATTATGAACTTAAAGTCATATCTTTAAAAAATAATATGCTTATACATTTAAAAATTAATGATGAACTTAAAATTATAATTTATAATTTATATGATTTTTAAATAAATATTAATAATTAAATAATTAAATAAAAAGCAGGGAATAGTAAATTATGTAATTTTGAGTTTATAAATAATTTTGATATTTAAAAAAAGTTTGAATAATTTTAAAAAAATTCATGAATTATAATTCGTAGTTAATTTTAAAATGTAACATGAGTGATTGAATATCTTTGAAAAATCGTGATTTCAAGGTTAATAATTAATCTTGGCGTGCAATACATGTCAAAGTCAATTAATTATAAACTCCAAATTATGCTTTTTTTTAAAAAAAAATCATATACATTTGTATCTGTCAAAATTAATTATAAACTCCAATTTATGATTTACAAAATATAGTTTACATTGGTTTTGGATAAATTTTTAAGGAATTATAATTAAAAAGTTAAATTGAAAAACAGTGAAAGTCTTAATTTTTTTTAATTAATTTTAACATATAATAAAGATATTTAAATATTTAAAAGAAATCATAATTTTAATTTTATAATTTATTTTCATATGTAATGGAGATATTTGTATATATTTTTACCATTTTCATTATTTTCAATTCCACTTTACGATTACATTTAACATCAATTTTATTTAATTAATCTTATAAATCAACTATACCACATAAGATTACTTATATTCAAAATCAATGAATAGTTACTAGATTTATCATTTACCAATGCAAACATAACAGTAAATATTGTAACATAAATTTATTGGCAAAACAATATCATAATCAAGTTGTAACAGTGTAAATAAATTCATGGCTATAATATAAATTAAAATTGTAAATTTAGATTGTAAACTTGTTAGATTTTAAATTTATTAATAAATAATTTTTAAAAGTGTATAATTAAATAATAAAAATAAAAAAATATAATTTAATTTAAACATATTATAAATATAAATTATTGAAATTAAATTTATCTAAGATTATCTTATCCGATATAAAAACTTTAAAATGATGCAACTTATTTTTTGTATTTTCATTTTATTTTTTACTAATATTAATTTTTTCTTTTTCTCTTTAATTTTATTTTTTTTAATCAAGTCTTACTACTTTTATAAACCAAATTTTATATAATATATACTTAACTTGTTCAATTTAATAAAAAATTAATGAATTTAATAAATTTAATTAGATTTATATCTCATCCTAATTTAAAAAAAAACTGACATAATTTTATAAGTTAAAAATATAAAAATAATAAAATTAAAAAATCAACTCATAAGTTTAATCAAATTTATATATATTTTGAGCTTACAAGTGAGCTAATATAATTTTATATGCTAAAAGCTTAAAAACAATAAAGTTAACTTAAGAATTTGACAATATTAATTGCAACATAAATTAAGTGAACTATAATATTTTAACTTTTGCTCAAAAAAAAAAACTATAATATTTTAATCACTAATCTTTATCAAATCTAAAAATTACTAATTTTCTGTAAATTTTAATCAAAATTTGCAGATTGAAGTTGAATAAAAAATTAATTATGAAACCTAAGTAATACTGAACACTTTTTTCTTAAAAATTCTTTCAAAAATTGAGTTAAATAGTTTAGATTAAAATTATTTTGTCAATCTAATAAAAATCTAACATATTTTAACGTGAAATATATTTTAAAGGAATATTTTTTGTTCTTTGTCTTTCTTTGTTTCCTTATATTTCAAATCTCTCCAAACTTAATGCTTGAGTCTTCAAAAAAAAAAACAAACAAACAAACAAACGAAAAGGAAAAAAGAAAAAACTACCAATACCCATTTAAAAATGAATTTGAATTTTTTCTAAATACTTAGAATTTGTGCAATTAGTGAAAGAAATGTGTAAGACTTAAACCCATTTCCAAAACAACTCAAAGTTGCTGAGGGAGGTAATGTGATGCTCCTTGTATACTTTAGATGTCAAGGTAAAAAGTTAAAAAAAAAAGAAATCTAAAATTCAAAACATTTACAAAGTTAACTGGAACTAACATCAACTCCTCTTTGCTTCAGATAGTCCTTTGCCTCCATAATGTCCTAAAAAGAAGCAAAATAAGTACTTTTTCATTGTGGCATATCATAGCATAGAAAGACTAAAATTAGAATAGTGTGGATCTAAATATCTTGATTAGCTCACAGATGCGTAGTGTGTATTTAGAGAAAGATAAAGAAAATAAGAAATAGATAAGAAGAGAAGTGACCCTATATGTATTTCAATTTTTTTGGAGGTGGATTCTCCACTGGTACAAAATGGTCCTGTGTGGAGAAAGACACACAAGGCATTAATACCTTGAGTCATAACTAACCACAGAATGCTTGGTTCAACTGATTAAAGGGTTGCACCAATTTAATTAAAGATCTCGAGTTTGAATCCAAGTAATATAACAGTGTTAAATACTCAATGGTTCCAAAAGGGTTTCACGTGGCTTGATCCGGATTAGACTGGCCCCATCAAGTCCCCCTCATCACAATATGAGACATGCCCAAACTTAAAAAAATAACAAGTCATGACTAGACTTCTCTCTTCACATAAGACACCTTGTCCCAAGAGAGAACCCAATCTCAATTTTTTTTATGTCATTTTCTCTCCAAATTACATGATGCATTATTGTAAAAAAAAAAATTACAATCCGAATGTCATTGAAATTCATTAAACGCACACACGTGATCAACAGGTCACGCAAGAGATTGATATTAACGTCCATGGAGCCTTGACCACTTATAGACAATACAGGCTCATTCTAATATTCAGTAACTAAACACGTGCAGTCATGCACAAGATTAACCTCCACATGGCCACATACACTGGCACAGTCTTGGCAAGTTATTAAAAAATAAAAAACAGAGAGAGAGAGATTGACAAAATGATAACATAGCAATATCTAATCAAGGGATAAAATAATAACAAAAGAAAATACAAAAATGAGCCCTTGTAATTTGATTGTGTTTTGTTTTTAGTCCATACAATTTATTTCATTGTTCCTAGTTTCTTTGATTTGATCCATTTGTAACGTTAGTCCTTATAATTTTAAAAATGTGCATGATGGCCCTATGCTAGCATTGATAAAGTTAATTTCACCGTAACTCTGCTAACCCCTTCATTGACACTTGACACAGTAAAAATTTGCTAAAAATAATGATTAAAAATAAAACGTAAGGGAGCAAAAAAAGCTTTCTTGCATATTTGGATTAAAGAAAATATGAGAGAAGAAAGCAGGATTAAGAACACATCAATAAAGGGATTAACATAGTGAAGCATGCATCAGCAAAATTAACTATGTCGATGACAACTCATGGTCCTTAGATGCATTTTTTAAAACTATAGGGACTAACATTATAGATAAGTCAATCAAAAGAGACTAGGAACAATGAAATAAAACTATAAGGACAAAAAACAAAAGACAATCAAAGTACAAGGATCCACTAGTGTGTTTTCCCGAATAATAACCACTACCTGCTGCAATAGGAGGGCTTCTTGAGGACAGGTTGGAAATCGAATGAGACCAACTCCAACCATCAATAAACCATAGCATCCTAAAGACACAACAAAATAGACCGGTAGCTGGGCAACAGACAGAAACAAGGCATGATGAGCAGTAAGAAGGATGGCATTATGTGGCAAAAATTAACATGTAAAAAGAATAAAGCACGGAAAAAAAAAAACAGAGTCACTAACCAACCACGTATGGCTCGCTGGAAGTACAGAAGTTTGTAGAAGGCCAACCCATAATGCACCGATGGCCATTAACAACGTCATAATCTTCACTATATGCTTCATTTATCTATCTGAAATCTTTGGCCAAAAACAAAAAAACAAAAAAAAAAAGATCTGAAATCAGCCTTGGTGCCTGAGTTTATTCTGACAGAAAAAGGGGAGGAAGAAAAAAACACAACATGATTCCAGTTTTTAGATTTTTTTTTGATGTTTCACTCAATGCTAATTGAATCAAACTTGCATAATCTTTTTCCTGGTCTGCCCTTTGGGTTTGTTGGGGGGAGGGGGGAGATCCATGGATCCATCCTACCAAGATATTTTGTTAATGTTTCACTGAATGCTAATTGAATCTAACTTACATAATCTTTTTCCCGGGCTGCCCTTTAAAATTGTGGAGATTCCATGGATCCATCCCACCAAGATGTTCATGTAATAACTAGATAATATTCATCTTATCATTGGAAAAAAGTTTTTTTGGGGATAAAATTGAATTTATTAATGAGAAGATAGAACAGCATAACAGTGCAAGAACAGAGCTTGTTAATCCCTTTAAGAGATTAACAAAGGACACCACGCTAAAAGGCCAGTTGCTAAAATTGTTGGCAACAGCTTATCCTATTTCAAAATCGACTAATACATCCAGCTAAGGCTCAGAGTTATAAACAGCCTATATTGCTTTCAAAACAAAGTCTTCCTGAAATTTGGGGGCAGAAACATAAATAATAAGGACACTTACATGAATTAAATACAAGATCCCAAACATAAAAGGCCACAGAGATAGATCATAACCCAGTTATTATATAAAGTTAGCACATATCATCCAGAACGAACAAAGGAAAATGAAAGAGAACGATCAAATAGTCTTTGTTTAGACTCAAGGAGTAAACACCTAAAATTGACAACATACCTTCAACAGGGACCAAACAAATCCAAATAAAATGAAACTCCACGATCCTATTTCACCTGAAACAATACAAAGGAATCTTACTAAGAAACAAATAAGAAGTAAGATATCCCAAGACCCAAACACCAGATTATAAATTTCAAATTATGGATAGTAAGTAATCCCTCAATCCCTAGTAATGATACATTACCCAAAACTGCCTTTCTTCTATTAAATTTTTGCTCTGGGGATAGAAAGGGAAATTTTATTAGAAGGAAGAGGATTGCAGAGAATGAGTACAATGTATCATCCTATACCAGAAAAAACAAAGAATATTAAAAAAAATTGTAACCAACAAAAGCCTCCAAATCTTTTTGCATTCCCAACAAGGATAACTCAGAAAACATACACATTTCCCCATAACCATATACACCACAAAACCACAAAGATTGCTCATTACCACAGAACATAGCCTACCGTTCACACCAGAAACCCCTAGTTTGAAGATATTGCTCAAAAGTAAATGAGTAAACCTATTGCTTCCTAAGAAGCCATACAATTTAGTCCACTTGAAGACAGACAACGGACAATGAAGAAAGATATGCGCCGTATAAGAATTAGGCCTGCACCATGACACAAGTATCTGGAGAAAGTGTGTTGTCAGGCCTAGAACCTGCAAGAAGAAGCCTTAGAATGCAAGAGAAAAAAGCCCTATAAGGGGAACGTGTAAGAAAATGAAATATGACGTGCAAAAGAGAGAGAGAGAGAGAGAGAGAGAGAGAGATGGATCAAGAATCCAAATTCTCAAGTCGACAATAGAGATCTGAAAGAAGCAAGAGAAACAGTAAGTCCCAATGCATTCTGTGAATGATACTGCCACGACAATGGTTCCAAGAGATCTTTAACCCATCTATCAGATGATAATTCTGAAGCCCAGCATTATATAATGGAGAAAGGAAATGGAGGCATGGAAAAGTCTCCATAAAAGAAATTTTCCCTCCCCCAACATATCCTCACAAAATCTGATTAGAAATCCATCTCTTAATCTAAAAGAAATGAGTGACCAGTATATAACATAGTCCAGAGATAAATTTCCAAGGACCTGTATAAATTGCAGAAAGCATCAGATTGGCATCCCATCCATCCCGTTTTAAAACATATCTAATGTAGATGACCTAGTATCATTACGAAGAAAACTCTCGTAAGGGAAATGCTGAAGTGACTTGTGAATCAAAACGAGGGTTTTTGGACACCAAGTCTCCACGACTAACCCCAGCTAATGCTACAACACTTCTCCCATCCTTCCAGATGATCCTTTTCAACTCTTCTTCACGCATACAAAGGAAACTTCAAATAATCTTCTCTGATCTCTGGGCGACTCCTATTAAAGCTACCAAAAAAAAAAATCAGTGATAAAAGGGCACTGCTTTTAAAAAGCAACCTTACACCTGCCAAATCACTGAGAAACAAAGATCCCAACCCAAACACAACCACCTGTTATTGAGGATAACGTGACTTGTAGTCTTAAAGCTAGCTAACAACGCGTATATCAAGGGAATCCCAAGTCCCAACAGATACTTCCCTTGAAATCCAAAAGCAAAATAAACACGGCAGACTGTTATCTTCTATTCACAATCAACAGGCATAACTAATCTACGTCCCTCAAATTTTTCCTTCCTTTAACCTTCCTCAACATATGCCTACCTGAAGACAACTGAAACAAGGACCGATCTCGCACTACAACTAGTGAAACTGAGATGCATTGACTTCACCGTAACACGACAAGAAACAGCAGTAAAATTCCCATACTCCAATGTTTCGTTGGAAACAAAAGGAAACAACTGTTTGATAGTAAGTAGATGAAATATAAACTACCTATTGGAGGCAAAATCGAGAAAGCGCCGCTAATCAGATGAAGGAGATAAAATCTGGAACAGTAAAATCGTTGAGGTTCCCCACCAAAGAGGGCGTGGAAGCAGACCCGCTAGATCAGGGACGACGGACGGATTTGATTTTAACTGAGGTTTAATTATAATTATAATTATAATTATAATTATAATTTAATTTAACACATTATTTTTTATATAATTAACACATTAATTTTAAAAGTACTATGATCTAAACATCATGATATATTATTAATTAATATTTTATTACGTAGTTCAAAAAGAAAATATTTTAGTTTAAATATATATTAATTAATTTTTAATTTTTTATTCGCCTATTATTGTTTTGTTTATTTTTCTTTTGTTATGTTTATTATTTAACCTTAAACAAAGTTTAAAGACTTGTTCGTTTCATTCTATTTTTTTGTATGTTTTTAAAATAGATTTAAATAAAATACACTTATTTGTCACCTATTTAAATAAGCTTTCTATTACTTTTAGGATTTTTTTTTAAAAAAAGATTTTTACCAAGATTCTAATTAAATCTCAATTAATTGATATTGATAATTGATAATTTAATAATGTTGAGAAAAGTTGTAATACTTTTTAACATTTAAATTAAAATTTTCCATTGGTAATTAATTTATTTAAAAAAATTGTAACCTTTTTTATTAAAACCTTAGTTTGTCACTGAGTGAAGGTTAAAATTGTCCTGTTCTATCTCACAGATCAAATTTTGAAAGAGAATTATAATTAAATTTTATAAAAAAATTAATTATTATAAAATTTATTAACAACTAAACTATATTAATAATAATTAATTTTTTATAAAATTTTAATGTAATTTTTAAATTTATTTATTTGGTGAATTTTGTGAAAAAATTTAGTTAGCAATTAAATAATACTAATTAACTTTTAATTTCCACTTAAAAAGATAATTAACCCTTAAATAGCTGGGGAAAAATAAAACTAAATCTAATATTTTCGTTAATGTCCGCAAAAGCATTGAATCGCTTTGAATCCCAGGAGGACTGGTTCTCTAATCTTGTTCGTCGCTTTCTCTTCCGACTCCGATCAATTTCTTCTCCGATTTCCTAATTTGGCTCTTGCTATCCCGAATTCAACATGGCTACTGCCGCCACTGGCGATGTCGAAGCCGGGTTCGCCAAGCTTCAGGGCGAGGACTTCGAGTACTATATGCAAACCTATTCTATCATCCTTGGGCGGAATTCTAAAAAATCCAGCGTCGACGTTGACCTATCCAGCCTTGGCGGCGGGATGAACATCTCCCGCCACCATGCCCGCATATTCTATGACTTCACGCGTCGTCGTTTCGCCCTCGAGGTTCTCGGTAAGAATGGTTGTCTTGTAGAAGGTGTCCTTCACCTTCCGGGCAATCCACCCGTGAAACTCGATTCCCAAGATTTGCTTCAAATTGGGGACAAGGAGTTTTACTTTCTGCTGCCGGTGAGGAGTATTCTGGGAGGGCCGCTTGGGCCTAGGCATTATGTGAATCATTCATCAATGGCGGCCGGAGGGGCAGTTCCGCCGCACTATAATTATCATATGGCCAATGCTGCACCTGCGGCTGGAGCTTTGGTGAAGAAAGGCAGGAGGGATTACTACGATGATGATTATGAGGATGAGGATGACATTGGTGGCACTGGTAGCAGTGGGAAGAAGCTAAGGAGGGACGGGTATGAAGGTTACGGATACGGCGGGGTAGGCTCGGGTGGCAAGACTTCACTTTCAGGAGCGTTGGGTTAGTATTCCATTCTGTTTCAGCCTTTTGTGTGTTTCTGTAATTGGCATTTAACATGACTATTTTCTTTTAATTCCTATTTTCGGTTTTATAAGAACTACATTGTGTTATTTGATTAGTGAGGTTTCCAGCAAGAATTAGGTGTTTGGGATTTCGGATTTCAGAGACGCTTGTGCTTTGACTTTTGTCGTATGGTTGTGGTGCGGTGTATAGATTTTTTATGGAATAAATTTTGTGTAGTCTTGCCTACTGGAGTTTTTAAGTTGTTGATATGGATCCATAAATAATCTGGTGGAGTGGAACTTATAAATTTTACATTTCGTTCTGTTGTTTTCTGGCATTTTTCCTCTACTTTTTAAAGTCATAATAGGGTAAGCGTTGGTATGGTGAACTGAACTTGTGTTTCTGTCCGTTCTGTCCTCCCGGTCCCGTTCGCAAGTGCTCTGAATTGGATGAACCAAGTCACCCAGGGATTATATGATAACCCTGTGGGGTTCAGTAGAAAGTCTTGGCCTAGCCATTTTGTGCATTCTATGCATGATTATCCCAAGATGCCTTTGGCCAGATGAGCTACTCATGGTGCTACAGTTACAAATTTAGAGATAGGCCCATCTACATGACCTTAAATAGCTCACTCAAGTTGTTTTGTAGTTCACTTTATGTTGTCAACATGATGCATAATTATTGTTATTTGTATTGTATGTATCCATGATGTGAGTTACAGCATCTTAGGTGTTGTATGCTGGGATATTTGTGGCACTGCCTGCACCGTAGCATGCTCCCAGACAATTGATAACTAGCTTATCAACAACTTTCATCTCAAAAGCTCATTACTTTTGGATAAGACTAACAATGGTTTAATTATCATCTACAAAACATCTGTTCGCTCAAATGCTTTTTGAACTTGAACTTTGCATGAGGCATAGGCCTACCATACCTTGTGCTAAGATTTACTCCTTCTGGAGCATAACATTTGTTATTGCTAACTATTTCACAGTTTACGAAAAATGTTAGTTGAATCTTTATTTTCTTAAAAATGTCCATGGCTTTCCATTTATGCCCTTGAGTTTTTCTAATAACACGTGTATGGCCTTTAAATATGGAGCATTTAAAGACAAGGAATAAAAAAAAACAAGGATATAAATGGGAAAAAACATAAAATTTACCCAATACCCTATACTTTGAATCAAGAGGTGTTTCTAGAAAATGACTTATATTGTGGTGTGGATGAGTAATTTTTCAATAAAATAGGAGGGTTAGGATCAAACTCTTTTCTAAGTCATTGCAGAGATTCTTAAAAGGTTAGATTGTTAGGAGAATCTCAAATCATTGTTTTATAAATATCTATATTCTATTTTCTCTAACAAATTCTGGAGAAATTTGGTCTGCATTGGATCCAATGACTATGAAACCCTGACCATATTTTGACAGTGTTGACTATAATTGTGATAATTGGGCTTGGATTGGCATGTTAACACAAATCATATAAATGGTCTTCACACTGATCTCTTAATGTGTAATGGTGTTTAAAATATATGAATTTGTGCATATAGAATCACAGAATGTCAAGATCTTATTATGTCCTAATTTTTATAATTGACATTTGTTTGGCAATTTATTTATTTATCATGTTATATAGTAATTGTTCTCTCTGTTAGCTCGTTCTTGTTCTCTTACCATTTGCTTATTTATCTGTCTTCCTGTTAGTTCTGTTATGTTGTTCTAGATGAGGTAATTTAGCTATTATATCTTTTTATCAAAAAAAATAAACGGGTGATATGTCTTGCAAATCTTGCTAATATGTTTTATGACAGTTGCCATGTCAGGACAGAGTTTAACCCTACCAAAATGTCAAAAGACTCACAGGCAGTAGTCATCTTAATCTATAAACACTATGGAAAAGAAAAACTTAGGCTGACATGTTATATTAGGCTGGATATAGTTGTGTTATTTTTTTTTTCTTGTCATTTCAATACCATATTTTTCTTCTGTTTTGTCCTTTAAATCCATCAGATTGACAGGAACTACATTTCTTGAAAGGAATATCAAATTAATTTCTTAAAGCATATACTTTTTTGTGATAAAATTTAGAATAAAATCCGATATCTATTATATAAATGATATAGCATTGTTAAATGTGCTGAATTTTGTAATTATTTAGGTCTTGGTTTAATCTTGGTACTTTTTTTTTTGGGCAGAATGGTTAGGAGTCTCAAGCATGTTTCAGAATTCTGGTGTGATAAAATTCTAGGTTTTTTATTGCTTTAGACTTCTATTGAACTTTTTGTTCAACAAGTTTTTCTCTGAAAACCTCTTGGGAACTGTGGGATAAGCATGAATATGTTGATATGTATCTTTCCCATCCTTTTTGTCAAGTTATTTTTTCTTTTGTGATTTTTGTGTTCAGTTGCAATGATGTTCAGCTCAGTTGACTCTTATGTAGTCTTTTAGTTATGTTAGGTTGCTATTTCAGTTAAATCGAGACAATAGACTCTTTTTGTCTTTCCTTCGCTTTTCAGCTCTACACACACGTTGTGCCCTTTTGGTTAGTGAATGGATGTTTATTTGTAAAATAACAGTGTGAAGGAAACGAAATGAGATTGTACTAAAGCCACAAAGCATAAGCGTAGGTAAAACTCTTGATGGGCTTCTGTTGTGGCCCAATGTGGAATATGGACTTATACGGAGCTGAATTTCTTCTCTCATTAAATTATGTGAAGAAATAAAACAAACAGAATTGGGGTCTTTTACAGTTTCTTCATTAATACATGGAAGCCATTTGTATGGCATAACTTTTATTTTTTCTTAATTGATGTCTTCTCTTTTCAAATTAAAATAACCATTGTTTCGTTGCTTGTATGCTTAAGTCCTATGCACATGATTCCAGCATCTGGTCTAGTCAATTCTTTACTTGTACCATTCCGTTGTATTCTTTAACTGAGATTATCTGTTTCTACAGATAAGAAGGCAGAAGGCAGGTCTCGAGTAGATCGTGATGCTGATAATCTTCAGCTTCAACAGTTGGAAGAAAAGGATGTAGTATCATCAGTAGCTACTGTTCTCTCTGATCTTTGTGGTCCTGGGGAATGGATGCCAATGGAGAAACTTCATACGGAGGTCAGTTCTGACCATTCTTTTTTTTAATGCTTCTGCATTACATTATCCCTTTAAGATTTTTTTGGCTCGCAAGAATGGGAGAAGAAATTTCTTTTTCCATTTTAGTAGCCGACACAAGAATCTCATCTTAAAGTTTGTATTTTCTACACAATAATAAAACAAATCACCTTGGTCTCTGACCTACGGTCACGTTTGCTTACTAGAATATAATAAAATGGAATGAATTAAAAAAAATAAAGACAAAAATGAACTAATTCCCCCCATAATAAACATAATAAAACTCATTAATATATACAATGAATGTGGCAACTATTACACCCTCCAAAAATTTCATGAATCATAATTCCTAATCTCATGAATTAAATTACCCCTCTCCCTTATAAATGTGCTCACCTATGCCTTTTAATCATCTTATTTTTACCTTTATTTTTTTACTCTTTTCAATTCAATTCAATTATAATAAGCAAACGTGACCTATATTTTATGGTAATAATTTGATTATGCATTGACATAGCTTTCCATCTCTTGGGCTACTGTTTTGTCAGGCATATTGCAATCTCTGAGGTTTATTTAGATCGCACCCTTCATAGATTCTTTTCTTTTCTTTTCTTTTCTTTTCTTTTTTTAATGAGAAACGGGACAAAGTCCAAACTATATTATTCAATTAGCAATAACATGAGGGTATGAAAAGCCCTCGACATCTCGATACAACCGTTGCAATGGCACCCAAGGAGGCTCCAAATCCTCCAACGGAAAATGACAATCATAGTTCTGCTTGATTCCAGACTTTGTGAGCCAGTCAACACACATGTTGCTTTCCCTGTAGGCGTGTTTCACATTTATCCTCTGGCCTTCATTAATGAATCCGAGTGCATGCCTTAACTGCCACTGGATTGACCCTTTTGGCTCGATCGCTTTGCTCCACTGGCTCACATTTTATTGATTCTTATGACTGATAATATAACATCAATGATTTTGTAAAAGACATCATGCATGTAAAGCTCAGTTCAGTTGTCTTGTCTACTGGATGATGATGAACTTGATTGTGCAGTTGCTGGAGCACTATGGAAATGTGTGGCACCACAGTCGAGTAAGGCGATATCTCTCATCGGACGACTGGACTGGTCCGGAATCCAAAGGGAAGCCTTGGTATGGTTTACTGATGCTATTGAGGAAATACCCTGAACATTTCGTCATCAACACAAGGTCCAAGGGCAGGGTCACTCTGGAGTTTGTTTCTCTTGTGTCTCTGATTTCATGAAACGTCCTTTATACAGAGATGCTTGATCGTGTTAGTTCAATGAAGTACAGAATTGCTTTGTGCCAAAATTGCTTATCATGACAAAAATCTACATGGTCTGCTCCACTAGATTAAATCCTTGTATATCCATATCGTGCTTATGTTGTTTAAGCTAGAAGAAAGGTTTTGGTACATTGTTTGTCATGAAACTTGCATTGGTAGTGGCAATTAGGTGCTATTTTAATTGATGGGAGCACGTGAATTATTAGATGTATTTATTCAACAATTATCCCTTTAGTGTTGGTAAAAAACAAAAAGCAATTATCCCTTTACAAACAAGATTAAAATAAGAGTTTTAAATCATCATTTCAAATATATGCACACGTGATTGTTTTTAAAATTTTATGAGAGAGAGAAAGGAAAGAAGTTTTATAATTTGAATTATCATTACAATTATAAAATATATTCATAAAAATTATATTATTTAAATATCTAACAATAATTATTCCACTGTCGATCTGTTATTTATTATTTTCTTTCAAATTTGTTTCTTTAAAAGAATTATTTTTATCCCCATTTGTATTGTTAAATTGTCAAGCTATTGGGTTATTTTAAGGTAGGAGAGCTTTTGCACGGGCAAAATGTAAAACTCAATTCCTTTTTCATGATAATGTGAACAAAAGGCGAAGAGAAACTATACTTTCAACAAAGTTTACATTGAGGGCGATAATTGAGTGGGAATGGTAACTTCGTCCGCATTCGGTGCGATAAATGTACTCTAAACTTTCAACAAAGTTTAAAGTACATTTAAATAATTAATTTGTAAAATTTTAAATTTTTTAATATTAAATTAAATCATTTAAATTATATCTGAACTGTACAAAATCTATCTAAATAATTAAATTGCAAAATTATAAATCTTTTAATATTAAATTGAACTATTAGATTAAACTTGTACTGACCAGATTGATAATAAACAGATGTGTTAAAATTTTTATATTTTTTATATTAATAAATATAGTATTAAAAATATTTAAAAATTAATTTAAACACAGCAAGTATCAAATAAAGCTGAAATGGTAACTTTACAATTTACATTAAAGAACGCACCGATGAGCACGCACCGAATGCAATTCCATGGTAACTTTACATCAAAGAACCTACAAATAAATACATAAGCTTGAATTTAAAAAAAATTTAATTATTTAATTTTATGTACTTAATATATTTTTTCAATCAAACCAGAAAAATAAATTTAAAAGTATTAATAATATCAATAATGAGAATTTATTATTAAATAAATAATGTATAAAAAATCTACCTACTTTGATTTGATTGAAAATATGAGATTAAATATATAAATTTTGTCATGTAAATAATCAAAGGAGAAAAGTTTGAAAGATAAATACAATATGCTGGCAATCAATATATATATATATATATATATATTAAAAAATAGGTTATATGTTTTATAAATTACATATAATATCCTTTATTATTGGCTAAATTGTTGGCTAAGGAAAGAAAAATAAAGAGCGGTAAAATCAATTATGCTACCCTTCAATGGAAACCTCAGCCCAATGACCATAGGGAAGTGTGTAAAATACTGGATAACGCAAGGAACCCATGCTTTTTGTTTTGTTTTGTTTGTTTTTTTTTTTTTTGGCCAAAGGAACCCATACCTCTATTTAAATTTATTAATTATGAAAACGAATATAATGAAAATTTAAAAAGTTTTTATTTAAATAAGGACAAAATTAAAATTTTATTTTATTTTTAAATAAAATTAATGACTTAATCACCTCTCCTTGCTTCCCGTAAAGTAATTAGAGATACTTTATAATAAGAATTAGAAAAAAGCAAAGGCTTCTTGTTTTTAATTATTTACGTAATTGTTGTTCATTATATATTATATATTCTCAAGAGTGAGTTTATTTATTAAAGCCACAAAGCATCGCGCAAGAAAGATTTTGCTAGTTAATTATTGAATAACGTTGAACATTTACATCACAACAAATTTAAACATTTATTAAAAATACACATAACACGTGGCCAGTGGTAGCCAAAAGTATTTTTTAGAGCCATCACCATAAGCCATTGATTAAACAAGACGCATTTTCTAGTGAATGAATAATGCAACTTAATATGAACTTTATTACACATTTTTCAAACCATATCTACATATTTCAAAATGTTTCATTTGTTGAAATATTGCACCGGTGCTTGCTTGTAAAGAAAATGAGAACAAAAGGTTTGCACATGGAACACCCAGTTTACTCAACTAAATGAGATTCATGTTTAAATTTGAGCTTACTTTTAAAATAAAGCATCATTTATCATTATTTTCCCATTATCCAACAATGAATGCACGATTAAGCTTAAAGATAATTCACCAAATAAGCCGTGAGTCATATCAAAGCTCAAAAGATATCTACACCATGGAGATGGATCGTCAAAAACCTTGGTATCCAAGTTACTCTGAGGTGTTTTGGTGAGCAAGTTATTCTATACATTTGTTAGCTTCTCTGAATAAATGTTCGAATGTCACAACCCAACCACACATCAAAAAATCTTTGAGAGAATTGTAGAATGGCTAGGTCTAAGAAAATTCATTTTGAATAAGCATGAAAGCGTCAATAGAATCAACATAAATGATAACTCCGTGATATTTCTCTCTCCAACAAATATTGAGCCCTTTGGGGATACCCAACAGCTCAACTGCAATGTTGGGATAAAATCCAAGATATTTGGTGAATCCTCTTAACAGTTGCCAAGTTCATCCCATGTAAGACCACATTTAGTAGCTCTTTGTACATTTCAAGAGTGCAAGGCCAAGGTATAGACCCAAGAATTTTTCTAAATCCTCTTAACCTGTTGCCATGTTCATCCCATGTGAGACCATATTTTAGTGGCTCTTTGTACATATCATGAGTTGCTAAGGTATAGACCCAAGAATTTTTTCTGTAAGAATATTGCAAATATGGCTGAGAAAATTTTACTTCAAAGCTATATGTTCAATTGTTCATGTACCGTATGGTACATTGACAAAACTTCAAGCTGAGAAAGCTTCTTAACTTGCAGAAATGCAAGAAACAAATAGCTCTAAATTAGTTCAATGGACTGGGGATGATTTATCATCATCATGAGAAATCAAACTCTTTATTGGGTTAAGCTATAATAATAATAAGAATAATAATCTACTTACCTTGAGATAATGAAATATATATCAAGGTCTGGCATGATACAGCCCTTCTTTACAATAAAAATGGAGCTCTCACCTAGAACTGAACAGTTAGAACTATCACGTTTCATGAGTCTGACGCTTCGTGATCTGCATCTTCAGAAGCTGACGTGGCATCAACACCTTGCTGACCGTCCCCGTCGTGCAATTGAGGTGGCTCTGACTCACTGCACTGTCTGGAGCCAAGTCTTCTCTTGTGTTCTGAAAAGTTATTTCATGGAACACTAGTAAATACTTGAAGAAATAGGAGATTTGTGTGTGTGTGTGTGTGTGTGTGTGTGTGTGTAAGTAGGTTGAAAGAGAAAGAGTACTTTTACTGGTAATTGATTGCCGAGTGAATGCCAAGAATTCATCCCATTGCAATTTACTCAGTTCTTGCTTCTCTTTTTCTGAAAGCTCAAAATTGGGCTCCCTCCCACACATGAAAGCAGCCCTGAGAAGTGAGGAGATATAAGCATAAGTATTCACAGCTAACATCATATAGTAGATACAACGGCAAGTTTTGTCCCACTTTAAAAACTTAATCGCTCCCACTAGCATACGACATAGCAGTAATAAATTACTCAGAGCATTCTAGGTGTCAAACCACAAGGAGGCTAACCCAATTAAATTTAGTCCTAACACAATATTTTAAGCATAAGTATTCATGGCTAACATCATATAGTAGATACAAGTCTTCTTTCACTAAGTGAGATTGGTTATATGAATTGTACGACACTATTATATTCTAACAGTAACTAAGTCTTTATATATATCATCCGTTCATAGGCCTTGTTTGATAACTTCCTCAAGTTATATATACTTCTTGGCCTTTCTCTACCTCTCTTCAGAGTTAAAGATCTTCAACTCAATTATTCTCACTGACGCCTCCTTCATATAGTCAATATGTAATATATTTGAGAGTCTCCAACGTATGACATATTTAGCACCCTATATTTTAGATTTAGAGTACATTGCATGAACCTCGCCTCTACTTTTAAACTGTATAGACATATTTGTAAAACAAAAAATAAATTTCAGAAAGCTATCCAGAGTTTTCATTAAGAATTACACATACCTCCTTTCTGTTTGAGAGAAAATTTGAGTATATTTTGAAAATATAGAGGAAATTGGTGTAAAATCAAGAAAACTTGCGACAAGTTTGTGTAATATACACTTTTAGGAAAGATATGTTTAGGTTTGAAAATTAGAGGGGAAACATACATAATTTTAGCAGAATTAAAAGAAAATTTGCATTGGTTTTGGAAACTAGTTAAATAACAAATTTAGGAAGATAAACTTCACTAGAGTTTTTGAGGAGTGGCTTGAACAAGACAATAGGAGGAGATCGAAATATATGCAATCCAAACTCCATAATATTTGTCTGAAATTTATATCTCCATACATCTGCCTGAAGTTCATCAGTTATCAAATCTGTTAACTATAAACAGCCTGAACTGCAGTTTCAATGGTATAGCAACCTTATTTACAAGCCCAATTATTTGTGCCATATCTTCAACAACAATAGCAACAAACAGCCTTATCCTGCTAAGTAAGGCCAACTATAGGGATGGAACGACATCATATCTTCAAACACAGAAATCATTAAATCTTCCACCTCCTCAATCCAATACCATTTTTACTTGTCCAAAGTTAGCCATCTACTCATGTATGCTTTTATGTAAGAATTTAAAGAATGGAATGATACAGCTCAGAGGAGGCTTTCATCCATTCATCCAAGGAGATTTTTATCATGTTCTATGTCCAGTAATCTAATTGTTCACATTCACTTTCCATATCAATGGTTGTTAGTTAAATCACCTTAATAGTTGTTGGATTTTTCATGAGTTGAAAAATTTGAACTGATTTTTTGAAATTCCCCTCCAATTTTCAATGTGCAATTTTCACATGTTAATTTGCCTTTCCCGGCAGCAAGTTCTAGATTAATGAACAAGAGTTATGCAAAATGATACAGTTCAGAGGAGGCTTTCAACTAAGAAAGGCAGTAACCTCAAAATTACATTACAAGTGAATTCTGAATTTCCTTTAGCTGGGAACCAAAATGTTTTTCATCTAGAAGTTAATCAGTAAGAACATCAATCTGTTGGCAGCATGGTATCAAATAGCTGAAATGCATGTTCTCACTATGACTCACGTTTGAAAATGCTGTAGCTTTCCAAAAGCTACTGTGTAATAGCTGTAAGCTGGTATGAAATGATATTTAAATATTTGTTCATGTTCAGAGAAAAGAATGCACTGAAAGAGGTTAAGAATCACATTAATTTCTTGTTGAAAGGTGTTGTAATATTACCAAATATAAAAATTGCCCAAAAAAACACAAATTTAAACAAGGAAAGAATAATGTCAGCATTAATGCAAATGAAGCGCTTTTAGGTATCTTGTATTATTGACAGCCAGAAGAGCTGAAAAGCAGCACTCAGGATATCTTAAAAGCAACCTTGGCTTTTAAAAAGCATTAGAAGAAACAGTAAAAATCAAGGATTACTGAAGATCCATTTATGACTTTTGCTGTCAAACAGGACTAGAAACAAAAGCCGCTACATTTCCAAACAAAGCCTTCAAAAGCGACCTTAAGAGACAGCCATAGTTAATAATAATGCACTATTTGAAGTAATACCTGTCATATAGGCGAGCAGCCTCTTCTTGAGAATTAACAGTTCCGAGATGGATCTGTTTCTTGTCCACTTTGATTGCTGCCTGCCACTTCATATTTTTAAAATAGACACCTCTCATTACACAGGATTCTTGACTATGCATATGCTTTCTCCTATGTGGCTTTCTGCGTTTGATAGGAGGCCCTGCAAAGTGCCAGGGGGAAAAATTAATAATGTCAAAATCAAAAGTCACTAAAAAGGGCCAGAGAAAAATGTCACGAAAAACAAAAAGGAAAATCACCAAACAACATTACTCCAAAAATGAGAACATGGCAAGTAAAACCAAAAAGTGACTTTTGAACCCAGATCTGCTAACAATGAAACAAGATTATCATTCTAAGTTTCTCTATTCTGTTGCTCTCTGACAATTTATCAATGATGCACTGAAAGTAAGAAGGAATCATTTTCTATCCACCAAATCATTTGCGTCGTTTTGTGCAACATGATGCCTTGTAAGAGATATAGAGAACACAAAATCCTAGGTCACGTGCCAGCATGTCATGAAGCACTTGGATTGGTAATGGAAACATTCATAGTGTGCAATAAAGGGCATTCAGGGAGAACCTTGTTGACTCTCATTATTAAGAGTTTTCTTTAAACTCATATCTCCAAAACAAAACAATGATTTTTCAATGCAATCGGTATACTTATTGCATTAATAATGCTCAATCATGTTTAAAGGATCAAAATGAGATTGGTTAGATAATAGATCGAAGACACATCTATTCATGTCTAGCCAAAACACAGTTGATTAAGCTTACTCTTCAGACCATTTGTCTAAACAGGTTGTAGAAAATTTAAATGCATCTGCCAGCAATAATGTAAAATTAGATAGGCTCCAGTTGAACATAAATAATCAGACCCAAATGTGAACAAACAGCGAGAAACCAGCTCATTAGGCAAGTTTTAAGAGGCCATTCATAGTCATTTAACGTGCTACTCCAGGAGCTAACAACCATTTTTATCTTCATATGGATAGGATATTAAATATGGTGCTCTCTATTTTTTATGTTGTATTCCTAGACTAATTTATTGAGGTAAACTCAATTTAAAATGACATCTTTAGGGGAACTCATGATATCTTTGGGAGATACAAGGCAGGTGAATGAATAAAAAAAAAAATCATGCAGAAGGCAGTTTATTTAGCAAAATAACTTTGGAAAGAGTTAGCTTTTGGAGGATGATGTAAAATAGAAAAATATATTATACATCTGGAAAAATTGTAGTACAATTTCTTTTCAGATGATTACCTAGCATGCAACCGGTCAAAATACATCCCCTATTTTCAAGAACATCATAAGCTCTTCTTCGGATGTTATTTAAGATTCCTAGTGAAGCAGGTGACTAATTGTCTCATGAGTCAAATCAACAAGAAATAAAGCCATGCTAGACAATAGAGAGCTAACTAATGAAAGAATCTTGCTACAGCATTATTTATGCCATGATTCCCATCCAGAGAAGGTCCATTTCAAGAAACATCCGGAGAGTAAAAGTGTTCACAGTGGAAATGCCTCAAGAAAGAAAGAATTAGACTTCCTGATTCACCCAGCAAACAAACATATGCTTACTATGTACTGTCCTGATTTTTAATCTTGACCATATTCCTTGAAGACTGACTAGCACCAAAGCACCTTCTTGAGGCACTGTCAATCCCCACAGTTTTGTATTGATCTTGGCCTTGCAGGTTAATCTTAGCACAGAACGAGCATGAATATAAAAGGAAAATGGATAACATTTCCCAATGATCAATTATGTTTGACACAACTTCCAACAATTAATCAGATAGGCTGACTTGCACAGAATTATTCATTCATGACGTCACTCAAAAAGGACTATTCCACTCTAAATCAAAACCGACTATTTCTCATTGGCATGCAACTGTTTCCAACAAATTAATGTTATGGAATTGAAGATCATGAATTTACTATCAATGGAATACATTAAATGGAAACATAAAAATAAAATACTGCCTTCAAGAAGATAAGTTAAATCAGCTAAGTTATCATACACTAAATCTGATATAACCAGCTGAAGGAAAAAAAATGAGCCACTTAAACAACAAACCAACAAACTGTTGACTGGACTGCTCCTTTGACGAGCTAGAACCAGATACATTTGAGGAAGCTGGTTCTTCTTTCAGTATGGGATTCTGCTGGAAAAATCAAACAGAGTTTAGTCTAAGTTCCCAAAAATAGGATATGAAAAGTTCCAAAATATATCAAGAACATAACTTTTGAAGACTAATTAATAGTTAATGCAAGTTTTCATGAAATCTGTAAATGCTAGTTTAATTAATCTGCATATGACAAGATTGATGGGCTAAGAATTTAGGACCTTCATCTCAATTTTAAAAATAAAAATAGTCATTTTTGCCTTTCAAATCAAAACAAATGGTAAGCACAAGGAGATTTCTTATAGAACCAAAAATGAGGATACAAGCACTCTACATCTTAAAAGAATGATAGATCAGAAAAACACCTGCGCACTTATGATCTGGCTTGTCTAATATGCACATATTGATGTCTATGACATTATGTTTCTTATACTACCTGCTTAGTGAAATTTCACCATTCATCTTTTTACCTATTTTTAAGAACTGTTAAGGGATAAAATTTGAACAGCTTGGACTGGAGAAACCAAGTTTGTCCAGCCAATTAACCTATAAGGCATAGTTGGAGATAGAAATTGAAAAATCATCTAGAGGAGAACGTTCATTATCAGGCCTAATCACAATAGAACAGCCAAAATTCTCAAAATGATACACAGAGCCTGCGAGTTCTATCATCCTATTTCAAATAATTTCAAAGGAAAAGAAGAAAATGGTGTAGATGAAATCAAATTACGTATTAATGATACATAGCTCACCCAAACAGCATATCATATAAAGATTGACCCTACACTCAAACAAAGAAGATCACACCAACTTACTTTTAGCAATTGAGTTCCTACACCATGTAGGATGCTTTCAATTCCATTGTCAGATTGGGCAATCTTAGGTTTAGCATGCTGAGCTGAATCTTGAGAAGCAGGGAGGTTCTCACAATATAGCGGAAGTGGAGTAACAAAGGAACTGTTCCCTACAAATATCCAATTGTATTGATCTAATTATCAACTGAATTTTAAGATACGATCATCAAAAGCATGGTTTTTCTCCTTTCTCTCAGAGGAGTTTATGATATATAAAATGTTTATATCATGTACCTGAGCATAGCCCCAAAAGTCTGCGCCTTCTCAAGCTTACCATGGTTAGTTCCAATCTTCTTAGTAAGTCATCAAAGCAAGATGGTTAACTCACAATCTTCCTATGATAATAACCTTGTCGTCACATAGAAGAAACAGAGTAGCTATAACAATAACACACAGCCTGAGACAGAGAAAACATCAAATAAGAACCATAAAGAAAAAATTTGACATCGCAGTTAACAAAATATTCCCTAAAAAAGAGTAACAACCGAAGGTATGTTTAAAGGATCTACTTATACATCAAGATATAATGGCCTTTTCCTAGTTCCAGTACCAGAATAAGAAGATCACTATCAGAAGTCACAAATAATAAAGAAGGAGATCATTAAAACATTGACAAAGAGATTCACATACATGGTATAACAGAAAATTGGTCTTGTTTTGACATATATGAAGCAGAGGAAAAGTAATTAAAAGATAATGCCTTCATTCTTGGGGCCACCTTGAACACAAACACAGGGCATAAAGAGACCAACAAATTGAAGGCAAACATCAGCATGATACGAAATGAACAATCACCACTAATTTGATCACAGCCAAAAGTATAATCAACCCTTTAAAGCTCGCGACGATAAGCTCTCTTCCATGGAAGTTTTGAAAAACGGAAAAAAAAAAATTGATACTGTAAATTGCAGACTGAAACCATAACAGACCCGGAATCTAAAATGGAATTGCAGAAATTGAGAACAAAATTCAGGCACTGAAATTCCTCCTCGTCAGAACTCCAAATCTCTTTGCTTGGGTCAAAGTCAACCCCATCAACCTACCACCTTTTTCTTGCCAATGGCTAACAGACCCAGAACACAAACCAAATACCCGCATTCGCAAAAGCCGCAAGACAAAATCGAAGAAACACCCACAAAAGCCAAGAAGAGAAAGAGAGTAATTAACTTTCAAAGCCGTCAACGCAGAACGCCGGTGACAAGAAAACCCACCACCAGACATAAAAACAAAAGAAGAACAAAAAGGATGGACCTTGATGAAAGCCAAGAGGCTAAAACAACAAGAAGAGGAAGAAGACTAAAAGTGTTCATTGTCCGTACCTGAAAGATGGGGTGACGATAAATCTGTGGCGGAGGCAAATGGGGTTAAAATTTTGGGAAGAAGGTGGCGGTACGCGGTAGTAAGGGTATGGGATATTATGTACCGTGTGTCATGTTGTGTGATGCTGTGCCTCATGCATCAATGATCCACCACCTTTTGTGTTGCTGTTATTGTGAGTGTGCGGGTGTGTGGTGTTTTTAAAAAATAAAAAAAAATAAAAGAGGAAAAGGGTGGTGGTGTGGTTGAAAAGGTGAAAAACCAACGTCGCAGTGTTAAGTTGAGTTGGTGTGTACATACATTGTGAAATGACGATTCTGCCCTTGTGATGGGCCACAAATACCGGTGGAGTTAGGTGTGTGAGTTACGTTATGACTTTTCAGTGCTTCGCCGAGACAAGCAAATTGGGATTGGATTTGGGGTGGCTCGTCAATTGCTAGTGCCCATCCATCGGTCGGTCTGGCCAAGAAAGATTCTGAATATTCAATCAAATACCTTGAAGCCAAGCAATCCACTCAAAATCTATTAAAATTTCATATATTAATTGCTCCACGCCTTGAATATTATAAATATTTTTTTTCAAACTATCACCTTAAAAATATAAATTTTTTAATCTTTTAAAATATAATTAATATTTTTAATTAAGAATGTAAGTAATAAAATCTTCTAATCAAGGTAACATATTAAATAAAGAGTAAACATAGAAGATGTATGTAATTTTAAAAATAATTAACTGACTCATTAAGATATAATTCAATTTAAATAGCCTTGTAATTTTGAACGGATATAGTATACATTTGCTTTCTCTTTTTCATAACATGGAATACTGGTGAGTATTTTACTGCTCTTTTTTTAGGGAAAATTCCATTCATCCCCTTTGATCCAATATAATTTCAGTTAATCCTCCAAAACTCTCAAAATTTCATTGCACATTTAGGAGGATGAAATGAAATTAAAGAGATAACTCAAATAATATTACTGTCTTTAGTAAAACTAGACACGAAAATAACTCATATAGAAAAAATAAATAACTGATGTGAGTGAAATCTACAACTTTTATTAATAATAAAACATTATTATGAATTTGCAATTTATATTCTACCAATGTTAGTTGTTCATTATTCATATATCAATTTATTTTCTTTAAACAAATTATTTATGTGTTTAACTTCACCAAAAATAGTAAGATTATTTGAGTTATCTTATTTGAGTTATCTTTTAAATTGTATTTTAATTCTTCAAATGTACTGTGAAATTTTAGAGTTTTGGGAGTTGATTGAGATCATGTTAGGTTAAGAGAGCTCACTAAAATTTTACTTTCTTTTGTCAATAACTACTTCCCTATTCTAAGAAAAAAGAGATAATCAAACTTTTAGTTTATTAAGTTTGCTTCAATTACTGATTTAATCTCTCAAGTATAATTTTTATTACTTTTGTCCTTAAAATTTGTATCAATTATTGATTTGATTATTATTATTATTTAAAGAGACGGTAACGCTAATTGCTAGCGTGGATATTAAAATATTGATGACAGTCATTTAAATTAACAAAAAAGGTGTAATTATTTAGGTATGGGAAATAAGCTCAATTTTTTTAAAAAAAATAAAATGTAGTGTAAATGACTAGATTGATAAAAATTAAATTAATTTGAGGGCTAATTGATTTTTGTTTGGTTATATATTTATATAAAATTATCAATATACTTTACTGATTAATTTGAGAGTTTAAAAACTTAAAGAACTACTATAGTAAATATAAAAATTTAAGGAACCAAACTAATAAAAAATAAATTTGAATTGGTAAACGAAAAGAAATTAAGGGCTGTTTGGCTTCTATTTTTAAAAATATTTCTTAAAACAAAAAATTAAAAAAACTCATTTAGATAAATATTTTGATTTTAATTTTTTTAAAACCTATTTTTATTTTTTAAAAAAAATAAGAAAATAAAAACATCTTAAAACTATTTTTGTTTTATTTTTCTTACAATACATTTGTTATTGAAAATTATAATCACTTTGATCAATTATTATTATAAATAACCACCACTAATCATTATTAGCTGAATTTTATTTTTTAAAAAAAAATAATTTTAAAACCTGTATTACAAAATATTTTTTTAAAAAAACTGCAATACAAACAAACACGCCCTAAAACTTTCATTATCTTTGCGATTTTTCCCGCACGTAATTTCATGTTGTCCGAGGAATAAAACCCGCCCAATTAGGCTTTAAAACCCGGTTCTGGAATCTGTTAACCCGATCATGCTCGAAATGACCCGGAAAGATGACCCGCTCGCGGCTCTCAAATATAAATCCGCCCCGTTGAGTTCTGGACAATAAATTGCAGAAACTCGGTGACGCAGGGGAAGAATTAGGGTTAAGTTTGAAGTGTCTGTTGACAGAATATCATCGGAGCGACAATGATCTACGACGTTAACTCTCCTCTTTTCCGATCCTTCCTAAGTCAGAAGGGAGGCTCATCCGACAAGAGGTTTGTTGTCTTCTCTTTTTCTCGTTGAAACTATGGTTTAAGTTAAGGTACTGTTCAAGCAATGGCTAATTAGGATTTGCGTATCCGTTTAATGCATGAAGTGCGTGATTTTTCCCCCCTAGATATCATATGTGCTCTGACCGCTTGGTGAAAGAATATATCTTATTGGAGACACTAGCAGATTCGCGCTTATGTCCAGTTTCGCTCTCTGTCACTTATAGGGCTCCTTCTATCTTCTAAATTTGGATAGAAGCAGGTGTGCTGGATGTTTTGGTTGAATAGCAATGTCATATTCTTCTACGAGTGTGTTTAGATAGCTCTTAAAATGGATGTCTGCTGTTAAAGAGGGGTATATACGTATATTTATGTGATGTGCTTCAATGGAAGGAATATGTCGTGGGAGAGGCTTATTTTCTATGAAATTTAGTGCGGTTGGTATTTGCTTTTTTGTGAGCTGAGGCTTGTGAAAAATTTAACAGATGGTGGCGCAGTGGGCTTTGACTGTTGGTTGGTAACTTGTTTTATTATGAAAAATTAACCATGATTGAGGAGGAAATTATTTATGATTGTTGTCTTGAAAACTGTCGATGGAGCGTGAAAAAGTTGTTTTAATAGAACAGTTAGTTTCATTGATTGAAATGGGAAAATTGGGAGTGATTAATGGAATCATGATATGTCTATGTACCTAGTTTAACATTCAAATTAATCTGTTTAAACATATAATTATGGGTTTCTTTGTTTCGCCTGAAAAAAGGAGTTTGGAGTTGTAAGCCTATAGACAGTGAAATGATCATTTGGACTTTTGGTTATTATTGGGAATTTTGGGTCTTTATTGGATAACAGGTAGTTTGGAATTTTGGGATTTGTTTGAAAAATTCAATTACTTGATTTCTAATAATGAGGTTAATCTTTTATTAGTTACTTTGTGCGCCTTCCTGTTATTTAGCAGTTCAGTTGCTAAGTCTGCCCAATTTCCCCTTCGTGTATGGTTACCGGATGCTAAGGAAGGGCCTACCTCTATTTCCGCCCTTATGCAGGCTGCTGCTATGGTAGTATGGTAGCAGTCAGTGAAATGATCATTTGGAACTTTAACCTCATTGGGTGATCAGTTTGCGTGTTGGTTTAGTATTAAAGGTCTCATACTGTCATGGCATGATGCAAGCTAGTCTGAATGGTTGTAGCAGTTAAACTTGAATCTGTTGTTTTGTGGTTATTCGTGGTGCTCTACTCAGCAGTCTGTAGACTTCTTGCGCTCACCAATTCAACTTAACATTGATTTATTACAAACTACTTTTCCTTCCATGGTTGCTTATGTGGTATATCATAAGAAGTAGAATCTTTCTTTCCTGTGGTCATTCAGCTGTTCATTCTTTGGGTGGAGGAGGGAAGTGGTTTCTGACAGTTTATAAATTTGCAAAAGGATCGTTGAATTCAATGAATAATGAAACTTGGGTTTATCTTGTTGCATTCAACTAACATTACAATAATATTGCAAATGGGACTTTTATTGGTTTGATTAGATTGTGTATTTGATAGATAATTTCTGTGTTATATTAGTTTTATTAGATTTATCACTGGACTTATCTCCGATTTCTTGTGATGACTTAATAGTCAAAGGGTTCATGAGATGGAAATTTCTATGACTAAATGACATCACTATTATATTTATATCATCTAACTCAGAAATGAATGCATCCAAGAAAAAGTGGGCGTTACACCTATTGAAAAAAAAATGATAGAAAATTATTTGAGGTGGATTGGACATGTATAAAGAAAGCCGCAGGAGGCGCCTATGAGGAAAGTAGAATAGATAACTTTGAGCTCTGTTAAAAGAGGTATAAGAATGCCAAAGAGAACGTTTTTGGAAGTTATTGGTTGAGATTTCTTGATTAATAATATTTTTAAAAGCTTAATAAATGATAGAGCACAACGGTATCATATAATTAATGTAACCGACCTTGCCTAGTGGGATAAGGCTGCCTCTTGTTGTTGTTGTTGTTGTATTATATTTGTATCATCTCTCTTCCACTTTGTGCATAACGATAATTGAAACTTGACCTTTGAACTGCACACTGGTTAGTATTTGATTACAGTGAGTTAAATTCTATTATGATCACTAATACTTTCCAAAATGTTTGACTCATTAAATTATGTTTGTAATTGGTGAATGGGAATTGTGATGAGATGGTTAGTAGGTATTGAATCGAATTTTGGAGATGTGTTAATTTTTTTGTTTTGTATCTCAGGAAAGTGGAAGAGCAGAAGCCAAAAGAACAGAGACCCAAAGCCAATGAGAACAAACCTGTTATGACAGAATGAAACAGCTTCACCTGCATTTAGAAAGAGAATGGAAGAATGTTTTAGGTGGTTGTATGGATGCCGCGGAAAAAGTTGAAATTTCCTGGTTTTGATCTAGATGCAACATATGGTGGCGATCTAAGGTTTTAATGTTTTGACATTATGGTTTGTCTTGAATTCGTGAACATGTTTTTTGTGCACTGCTAGTCACCTGCGATGAAGTCTCGTCTAGAATTTGTTTTTATAGCTATGCGTACTTGTGGACTGGGGTGCATTTGGTGTTGAACTGCAAGACTAAAATTCTCATTGTTGAAGTGTGTAGCAAGACTAAAATTTAAAAAAGTGTGGCCAAGAAGGTTTTTATTGCTTTGCGTTCTTGTGGGGTGCATGTGGTGTTGAACTGTAAGACTAAAATTTTAATAAAAACTTTTTGACCACACTTATTTAAATTTAAAACCTTTAAATCTTTGAAATTTCATTGCAATTTAAAAGTATTGATTTAATGTTAAATTTTTAATAAAAAGAATCAAAATTGTTCGTTACTTAAATTAATATTAAAATTATTTTATTTTATTTATTAATTGTATTTTATTTATTCATTTACAAATGGAATATTGTTAATTGTTACACTTTATTTATTGATTTCTTTTGAATGAAATCAAGTAAAAATTTAAAGATAAATTGAAATAAGGTAATGAATAATAGTCTGTTAATAAATAAAATAAATGAATAATATATAATGTATGAATTAAAAAGTTATCTTAAAATAATTTAAACACTTAAAATAAAAATAAGTTAAGTAAAACAATTAGCAATATTTTATAAGTAACTTAACAAGTGAAATAAGATAGTGTTGATATTAATTTAGATGAGGGAGAATTTTGTCATTTTTTCAAAAATTTAACATAAAATCAATACTTCCACATTACAACGGTGATTTTAAAAATTTAAGAGTTTTAAATTTAAATAAGTGTGATTAAGAGGTTTTGTTAAAATTCTCCTAAAATTTAACATTAGCCGGAAAAAATGAGTTAGAATCAATGTTGAATTTAGTTTGAGACAAAAATGTGGTCATTTTGCACGCATGTTCCGCTCAATTCAATTAATCTGAATCGACTGAGCTTGTGCCTTGGCGGGTCTTCATCTTTAATAATTTTCATGCCCTAAATAATAAAATTAGTGCTCTTTTTTTTTTTTTAGCCGTGATTTGACGTTTTCTGGAAATTTGTCCTTTAAAATGTTTTGTTCTCTCGTGAGAAGGAGTCAAGAGGCTGTCATTTTCTTAGGTTGGAGGTTGAAGCGACACTGGCCATGTGAACTTTATCTTCAATCTTCTATTTGTATTATAATATAAACATGTGAAAATTTATTATTTTCCAAAGTTAAAAACAGTAACAATGTGGTATTCCCTCCGTTAGGATATTTTTTAAGAGTTAAATATTAAAAAATATAAAAATATTTTTAATTTTTTAAAGTGTAATTATTATTTTTTTAAGTGTCCTTATTAATAATGACTTTATATTTATTATAGGGTTAAATATAAAAAAAAGGGTTGGTTTAAAAATTTATAACTACTTTATTGGGAGGGTGAGATTCGGTTAAAAATGCCTTACATTTTTAAACAGAGATAGTAGAATATATCTGTTGAACTTATCCATATATTTATTTAATAAAATTATACTAGTTAAATTAAATAAATTTATGTGGAATTATTTTTAATGATTTTATTTTTTTAAATAGTGTGTCTCTTTATTTATTTATTTTTTTGCATTTTTCTATTTATCATCATCAATGGAAAAATTAATTTATATATATAGCCACGTGACATAATATTTTTACTGTATACAAATAATGTGGGGTAGTGGGTTTGTGGAAGAATTTCTCAAGTGATAAGATCTTTTGTTCTTGAAGAAAAATTGTTTTATTTTTATTTGATTGATTGATTCATAATAATTCCTAAACATGTTTATGTACTCAACTGTTCAATTGTGATAATGCATTTAAACTTTTTTTGGCCTAAATAAAGTATTTAAACTTTGAAGTTTCAAGTGACACTGTATCCTTTTTTTTTTTTTAATTATTACTATCTTGAATGAACCATCAATTAATATATAAGATTATGTAATTCCAAGGGTCCCGTAGAATTCATTTCGAGATATCTATACTTTAGAGGAAAAAACTTAAAATTACAGTCTATAACAATATTAAAATTACATGACCAAAAAAGGTCCTCCATAAAATTCACATATAAAGATTCAAACTTGATAAAAGAAATAAATAAATTCCTCCATATTTAAAACTTAATAAACAACTCTCCCAAACTTCAGAAGTTGTACATTATTATATTAACATTTTTTATCTCATAAACAAAAGAGAGAATGATATTAAAGTCACACGCAAGGAAATTAATTACTGCAAGGTCCATTGACAACTGAACTAAACTGTATTGAATGATGCAGTTTAGTTCAGTTGTCAATGGACCTTACAATAATTAATTTCCTTGTGTGAAATCTAAAAAAAAAATTTATGAACAGAAGGACCTCATAAATAAAAAATAACATTAAAATATCATTAATTTGTGAAATGGTAGAAAAGGACTAAGGTTAAAAAAAAAATGTAAGTAAATAGATGAAATGCCCCTACACTATTAGCCACATAATTCAACCGCAATCCTGGAAAGCTCGATTGTAAATTTTAAAAGCCAGATTATACATTTCAAAATTTTAGTTGAGAATATGTTGTAAAATTGTGAAAGTTTTGTAAATTTCATGAGCTCAAATGTAAATCTCGGGTGCTTAATTGTAAATTACAAAAATTTAGTTATAATTCTTAAAATTTAAAATAAAATTTAAACTTCTGATATTTATAATGAAACTTTCATGATTTCAAAATTTTCATAATTTATTTACATCTAACTTTTTTGTAATTTACATTTTAACTTCTAAGATCTGCAAATAAGCTTTGAACATTAGATAAGGGCATTTTAATTATCGATAAATGAGTAAATTATTTTTTAAACTTTAAATTCAATGGCATTATAGATTTTGAATTTGTTTATTGTGAAAATTATTTTCTCAACCTTTAAAAATGATGCAATATGGCTCCTGCTTTAACAAAAGTTAATTTTAACTATTAATTTATTAAAAAAACATAAAAAGACATTAAAAATTATTAAAAAAGAACCAATTTTTTTTTTTTTTCTTGAATTTTTTGGGTCCTTGTTTGTATTTTTTGAGTTTTTTTGTATTTTTTCTGTAATTTTTGAATCCTTTTTTATTACTTTCTAATTAATTAATGGTCAAAGTTAATTTTTATTAATAATAAAAGTCATATTACACCATTTTTAAAAATTAAAAAAATAATTTACATAATAGATAATTTTAGAGTTTATAGTACTATTGGACTAAAAATTTAAAAGATAATTTACTCATTTACCTTTTACTTATTTATGTTTTTTATTTTTTTAACAACATTAGTTATGTTTTTATTTAAACATTGGTTTTTCTATGTTAGTTCATAAACTCATGGTCTTTTTTACCCTTAAAAGTTTAGGTGAGTTAGTTTTGAAGACTCATCAAAATTAAAATATATCTAAAAGTTCAAAAAACACCTTCATAAATATTTACACATCATTCAGCAACAAAATTTTCACATTGATAGTTAAAAAATCCCATGACCTTATATGTTATGTGCCGAATACAAACTAAGAAGATCAATCTTTGTTGTTTAAACTATTGGTCTGATTTTTTTCATATTTTTCAGCGGTCCTTGTGCGTTACTTCCCATGGATTTATCCTTCCTAAATCAGATTTTGAGATTTTCATATATAAAAAATCATTCTAAGATATCTCTACCTAAAGCAATGTTTGAATATTTGTATTAAAAAAAAAGCAATGTTTGAATATGAATTAATTGATAATAATATATACTAAATGACTAGGACAAAATAAAAACATTGTACATAAATTTCACAAATAATTACTTAAAAGAATTACTTTAAAGTCTCACTATAACCTGAGAGTAATTAATTGTATTGAATGAAATTTAAATATAGTTTTTCCTAATTAAATTTCATTCTGAATAGTAAATATTAAATGAGAACGATTTATTTACAAAAATACAATCAATACAGTTGGAATAACTTTTGCCGCCATAAGTATAAAACTAATGTTCATTAGGAATTCTTGATTTATATTCCTCCATTTTTATTTATAAAAAAAATTATTATTTTTTATTTATTTTTTACATAAATAAAATTATCTATTTCAATAAACATTTATTACACATTTTCTAAATCATCCATCATAATTTACATTAATAAAATATTATTAATACATATTTATATTGATTAATAGAGAGCATTTTAGTTCAATTATTTCATTTGTAAACATAATTATTATGAGTAATCAATTTTTTTAAAATTGTGTAATATAAGTTTTTTTTTATATATAAAAACGGATGGAGTATTACTTATCAAAGTGAAATATGTTTTCCAATAATAAAATATTTTAGATATCAATTAAATTCAATGCTACAATATTTCACATAAATTATAAATACTTTTCATTTTATAAGTTTAAATTTTAATTTTCAAAATTAATTATAAAATATAATAAAAAATTCATTATAAAATATAATACACAAATTTATTTTATGAGAGTTTTCAAAATATTTTTATATAATTTTATAAAATTTGAAAATATGTAATTTTTTAAAAATGTTAAAAAGTTCGTAAATCATTTTTATAATGAAAAAAAGATTTTCTAGAATTCATTTCGAGATATCTATGTTTTACAAAGGAGAACAAAAACAAAAACTAGTGCTGCAAAAACGTGACTATAAAATTTTACTTTCGAAAATTCAGAATTGATAAAAAAAATAAAATATTTATGACCAATATTAAAATTAAAATTTTAATCTTTCCAGTGCTGCAAAAATATTCTACACCTGCAATTTAAAAAAATTATTAACAATAATTTTAGAAGTGTCCTGAACCATTTTTAAAATTATCTATGATATTCTTAATTTTATAAAAACGATAGTTATAAAATTCTTAAATATTAGTTTTAGAAAATTTGGGTCAATAACAATAAGAGAAAATATGATAAAATCATGAACGGCGAGTGAAGAGCTAGATAATAAATATATAGAAAGATTCTGGTTGCGGAAAAATGAGATCAGTCAAAGGTAGAAAGATATGCCCTTTGCCAGTTTTTGTCTATCCTCTTTTCACGCCGCTCTCTCTTCAATCTTCGTCTCTCTCTCCAACGCAATCCTCTCAAATTACACAGATTTTCTCACACTTCCTTTTGTTTTCCCTCAATCACCATTGTTACTGGTATGACTCTCTTCAAAAGAAAAACAATGTCTCAGTTCTCTCTCTCACACTCTTGCAAGTGCAGAAAGATTCAGTCTTTTTCTCTTATGTCTCATTTATTCAATGTATTTTTCTTCATCTTTCTCTCACCTTACCTCGTCAGGCTCTTCTGTTCATTCTCTCCTCTCTTCTCTACCACTCTCTTCCTTCTCGCTCTCTTACCTCCCAACCTTGCTCATGACAATGATGATTCTTCAAGTTCTGACTCCAAATTGGCTTTTCTTCTCTCAGTTGTTGAATCTCTAGTTCAAAAAATTTCCTCGAAGAATGATGAAAATGGTGAGGGAATTAGGTGCTTTGAAGAGTTTCAAGCATATCTTGATGTGTTCCGAGCACCAGTCTTTGAAGTTCTTGGCGGAAATTGTTCAGAATCCGTGTTTCCAGGTCATGATGGCGGAAGAGAATCAAGAGCTCATGTGGGTCCAATGGGAAAAAAGCCAAATGGTAGTTTTGATGAAAACCCATTTGGGGAAGATGATGATGATGATGATGGTAAGTTTGTATCTGCTAGTCCAATTGTAGAAGAGAACCTGATCTGTGAAAAGCAATGCAATGAAGTTCTTGAAGAAAATTACTCAAAATCTGGGCTTTCAGGTGATGATGATGGAAGAGAATCAAGAAATCATGTGGGTCCACTTGAAAAAGAGCCAAATGTTAGTTTTGATGAAGAAAACCCATTTGAGAAAGATAACGGTAAGATGGAAGCTTCTAGGCCATTTGCGGAAGAGAACAATGAAGTTCCTGAGGAAAAATTCTCAGAATCTGACTGTTCTGGTGAAGAAGGAAGATTTCATGTGGGTCTAGTGGAAGATCCAACTGTTAATTTAGAAGAAAAATCAGCTGGGGTAGAAGACGATGTTGACAAGGTTGAAAAAAACTCAAAGCCAGACGGCATGTTTTGTCAAAAGAGAGACAAGGAAGTCAAGCCACTGGACACAAACTCCAATAAAGCAGAAGAAAGCAAAGAAGAAAAAGTGGCACTGAGAAGTGGATCCAAAGTTACGTGTAATAATAATTGCAAAATTGATGCTAAAGACAGTTCTGCAAACGGTGAAGAAGAAGAAGAAGAAGAATACTTTGGGACTCCTGAGAGATTCTGGGACTACAATAGAAGCAGCAGCTATGGATCAATGAGAAAAGAGAAGAAATGGAGAAGGACATTGGCTTTCAAGCTTTATGAGGAGAGAAACAATGTGGATAATGGAAGTAGTAGCAGTGAAGCAATGGATTTGCTTTGGGAAACTTATGAAGACAGAGAACATGATAAAGCAGAAGAAAGCACAAAAAGTGAAGAAGATGGTAATGATGAAGAAGATGGTGATGAAGATGAGAAAGAAGAAGAAAAAGAAGAGAAAGAAAAGGGTATGGAGAGTAAGTATTGCTGCTTGCAGGCACTGAAATTCTCAGCAGGGAAGGTGAACTTGGGAATGAGAAAGCCAAGTCTGGTCAAAATCTCTAAAGCCCTCAAGAGCATTGGATTGTTTCACCATGTAAGCAAGCATGGCAGAAAAAACCTCCACTGAACTAGAGATTTCACTCCATTTGCTTCACAGAATTATTGTGCATTCATCTGATCATAACAAGTAAATATATATATATATATATATAGATATAGATATATATGCTCATTTCTGATACAATGAAGCTTTTTCATCAGTTATTGATTCTTTTTGAGTAGATATAAAGAAAGATATTGTGATAGTGATAAATATTTCTTATTAGGAGGCTCTGTTCACGGCAGCAAGAGCAATCATGATCTCCAGTTTCATCAAGAGATTATGCTACTGATTTTATTATTATTTTTTTTTTTACAGTTAGTTAAAGAAGTCTATAAATAATACTTATCACCAATAGTTTGATGGCCCCGCATTGTCTGCTTTATGTGAAGGATAGTAATATTTGCATAGATCATATGGTAAATTGGATGAAGAAAGGAGACCAAAATATATATATATATATATATATATATTTGTGCATGTAGTAGTCAAACCATGCTATATGCTTTTGTGCTTAAAATAAGAGAATACGAGCAAGGTGGAATAAATGGAATCCTTTCTTGAGCAGTGTGAACACATGGACAAATCCATTATTTCTGATAGAGTGATAGTTGTTCTCCAGGGTAATTCTTTTATATATAAATATAAAGAATGAGTAGAATTATTCATGATTGATAAACTATGTGATTTGCTATGAATTTTGAGCGTCTGATTTGTGAAACATGAATGATGCTATACACACATATATATGGGGTAACAACTATAGGCACTACAAAGTAATCTCTCAAATCCTATATATAAATAACTTTTAATTAATTTATCAAAATCATGACTAGTTTGTTAGAGTAACAAAGTTGTCTTAAAATTAAACTACTTCCCATTTTTGCCTCTAAATTTAAATAGAGTGATTTGATAAGTAGGAATTATGAAGAGTTTTTTGAAAATTGAAATGTTATGCTTTTTTTAGATTCAGTAAGAGGGTGTTTTTGGGAATTGCGTATCAAAGCATGCATGCATCAAGAGAGAATGACTATCACTAAAGATTAAGATAATTTTTTAGAATGTGACTAATAAATAAAGGTGGAGTGAGTATTTATGTTTTTCTCAGAGGATGGGCTTTGAAATTTGGGCTACAAGAGATAAATTAAGTTGGGCTGGGCTTTGGAAGAATGACAATAAGTTTTATCCTACTAAATGAAATCGATTATACAGATTTGTATAATGCTATTATGATCTATTATATACCAAGTTTTTAGAAATGTTGTTAAATAAGAAATATCAGTCAACAACTTTTAAAAAAGTTCTATTTAGCCTTCCTCTATCCTTTTTAACAAAGTTCGAAATTATCTGTTCCACTCTCCTTACCAGTGTCTCTCACAGTCTTCTTTATATATGTCTAAACTATCTTAAATAATTTTTTATCATTTTCCCCTCCCTAGGTACTAGACCTACTTTTTTCACGTATGTGCTCATTTTAAATTTTATCTTTACATATATATTTGTACATCCATCTTAACATTCTCATCTCTACTGCTCTAATTTTATGCTATTATTGTTTCTTTAAAGCCCAATATTCACTGCCATATAATATAATTGGTCTTATAATAGTTTGATAAAAATTTTCTTTAAGTTTATTAAGTACCTTATGATTGTAAATAACTTATTTAACCTTTTTTCAATTAAATCATCCAACTTGTATCTTATGTATAATATCCTCTTCAATTTTCCCATCATGTTGAATGATAGTTCCCAAATATCTAAACTTTTTCACTTAAAATATAATCTGATCTCGCAATTTTACTTCCAAATTACTACAAACTAACATTTTATTAAAATTACAATATAAATATTTTATCTTACTCCTACTCAGGTAAAAACGTTATTGGTTGGGCTTTAGAAATAAAGAAATAATTTGGGCTAGGCTTACATTTTCCTTTAAATTTTCATTATTTTTTAGGGTATGGTTTAGTTCATTTTCGGCCTGAAATGTTTGGTCCAGTTTATTTTTTTTATACTAAAAAGAAGAAAGTTTTTAAAAATTATATAAAAAATTTAGAAAATGGTTCCTGAGATCCCTTTTCACATACGCACCAAAAAGGGGAAAAAGGTGTCACTCAATACTCATATTTTAATTTGTTGGAGTTTTATTAAAAATACGCAAAAAAAAAATATGGGTATACAATATTTTATTATGTTCTTATTAATGAACTCTTTCGTTTTCTAATTTTATATGTTTTTGACCAGTTTTTCTAATTTTATATTCAATGCTACAAACAAATTTCACCTGCCATGCCAAAAGCAAGAGAAGGCCAATCCTTTCCCTACCTCTTCTGTGTCCCAATTCCGCCATACAAAATTATTTTTTATTTTTTTAATTCAATTTCATTTCTGCGTTTAATGGGCCTGAGTAATTAATATGACTTTATGTAGTGTATTATAAGCTTTTGGTAATAGTAATAATTACACAAACTATATGATTTTTTTAATATTTTATAATGTTTACTAAATAAAATCAAGGTATAAAACATATTGGTTACTAAATTATTAATCTAAAAGCGTATGGGTCCTTAAATTTATATTTGGTACAATGCTATCTTTTAACTTTTCAAAACTATTACAATTTCATCTTTATCATTAATAAAAATTAATTTTAATTATTAATTAGTTAAAAAATGATAAAAAAATAACTAAATTTTAATGGTTTTTTCTGTAATTTTGGATCCTTGTATGTAAATTTTCAGTCATTTATTTTAATTTTTTGGTCATTTTTATAATTTTTAAGGTATTTTTATGTAATAAATAAAGTTAATTTTTGCTAATGGCAGGAGCTATATTATATCGTTTTCAAAAGTTAAAAGGTGTCATAATATCAAAAATGAATTTAAAATTTTAAACACTCTTAACCTATAATTTATTAGGGGTTAATTTGCTTGTTTATTCTAAAATCAAATATGATTAAACATTAATTAATGACAAAACTCAACCGAACTCATCCCAACTGCATGATGCGTTGTTAGCTGTCGTCAGGTGGAAATGCAATTCCAAAAAAAGTCAAAAAGAAATTTTGATATTTTTCCTATTTTCACATTCTGCCGACTAAGTTTAGGCACTCGCAAGTCCTCTATGAATCATCAAAATCACATAGAAATAGCCAACTTCAATAATAAAATATAAAGGCATTTGAGGTTGCAAAAATCATTATATTTAATTGAAAGTAAATTTGGGGAAAAAAAGAGTAAAGGTTAAAATAACTTAACATGTTACTTAATATCTTTAAATAAAAAATTGTTCTTACATATAAAAATATAAAAAATCAACATAGGATAATTAATTGGTAGTGCCTATATACCACGATCATGTTTCCAGTGAAAAAGGGTTTCGATAACTATTAAAAAAAAAAAACAATTAGCGTGAGATGAACAATGCTGACTTCTAAATTTCTCCCCTGTCTAGTTTGAAATATAAGATAAATTTTGGAAGCTTTTTTTTTTTCTGTTTCTAGTATGAGAAAAAGTTAGAGGAATCAATTTTATGTTCTAATTTTACCGTTGTTTTTGTTATGGTTTAAATTTTTAGACAACAATTTATTATGGTTAATAATTGAAAAGAAAAATAAAATTAGAAAGTTATATATTTGGACAAATGAATAAATTATACTTAAACTTTAAATCTAGTAGATTCTGAATTCATTTATTATATAAATTATTTTTTTAATTTTTAAAAATGATACAATTTGACATTTACATTTAATAAAAATTAATTTTGATCATAAATTAATTAAAAAATAATAAAAAAAGACATCAAAAGTTTAAAGTTAAAAAATTTTAATCATTCTCTAGTTAACTAATAATTAAAATTATTTTTTATTTACAGTAAAAGTTAGATTGCATCATTTTTAAAAATTTAAAAAATATTTTATATGATAAATAAATTTAAAATTTATGATATAAGTGGATTAAAATTCACAAATAATTTATTCATTTACTTTAACCTAGCTGTAATTTACATTAAATATGGGTGTACTGTTGTACCTTTTGGATGAAATCCCTCCGTTCCACTGGACAAGACAGAAGGGAGAACAGCACATAAGCGCACCAAAAAAAAACATCATTTCTCTGTAGGCGTCATAAACCAAAGAAAATTAAAATAGAAAGTCTATAGATAACAAAAAAAAAAATCTAATTATTTAAAAAAACTTGTTTATTCAAAAAAGTTTATGTGTATCTACGTTTGTACTTGAGGAGGAGAAAATTTATATATTAATTAAAAGATTAACAATAAAAAGATTAGGTAATTTCAATGGGCAAAATAATTGGCCATGCCACCATGTGGAGCAATTATACCCTTTCAATTATGGATGAAAATAAGTTAAATTAATCTAAATTTTAATTAAATAGACTTAAATTAGATTTGAAACTTACATGAAACTTTTCTCACAATTCAAGTTTAAATCTGTTTAAAATTTAGCTTGAAAGTCTATGTAAAATTTTATTTAAAATTAAACATTTTAAATAAACTCATATTTTAATTTTAAATATTTTAAATATACTTTAAAGTTATTAATGTAAATATATAAATTAATTTATTAATTATAATATATAATAATTAAAAATATTTACTATCCATAATGTAATACAATAATAAATTAATAATATTAAAATTAATATATAAGCTTAATATGATTGAAGACACAATTAAAAATAACAATTAAATTGATTTAAAATTAAATTATAAAACTAACATGTGTCCAATATATTATAAAATATATGTGTGCGTAAATAAGCAGATCAATTAAGTTTGTAGGTTAAGCTTTAAAAAAGTAAGATTGATATATTTAATTAAATAAATTTAATTAAAAATAAATGAGGGCGTGTTTTAATAAGAGTTTAACCTATTCTCGCCTCTACTTTTCGTGGTCTTATACGCGATTCTCTCAAAAAATTTCACTGCAAGTGTCACCGCCTTGTCCGGTTCCCGTTAACCACTCAACGCGTCTTTTTCTTTCCCTGCTTCCTTGTCCTTTTTCTTTTGTCCCTCTGGCAGTGGCAAAGCCACTCGCAGAAAAACGAAGCAGTATCGTTTTCATTTTCCGGCGACTCACTCAGTTTGCTGCTGAGTTAAGTGCTTCCGAGTCAATCACTCTGGGTCCATAATGTCGCCATCTCGATTCCCACGCGCCGCCGCTGGAGGCTCCCCCAGCTTCGCCTTTTCCTTCTCCTTCAGAGTTTTGGCCTTCGCCATTACTGTTGCTCTCTGTCTTTTCTTCACTCTCTCCCTCCTCTTTACTTCCCATTCCTACTCTCCGGATCAATCTCAGTTGGTAAGCTTCCGCTTCTCTACCTCTCTTTTCAGGCGTTCCACTTGTCTTGTTTTTCCTTCTTTTCTTTCTGGGAAAGTGAGCAATTACATTTTGGAGTATGCGGGGAATTTTTGGGATTTTCCTTGATCTCGAAATTGATGTTCTGTTTAGGGATCTTGTTTTGCCTGTTCAATGGGGGAGCATCGGGCTCGCTCTGGATCTAATGTTGGCATGGTGTTATTTGTTCTTCTTTTTTTTCACGTTTTTCCCCACGGGAGGAAGAAAATGGGAATGTTATTCGAAAGGGATAAGATATTCTGTTACTTGGAAGAAGACATATGAGAACTGAAAGCTGGCCAATTCAGAAACTGATTAATCTTCTTTTTTTTTTTTTCCTTGTTACTTTTAAACTAGGGTTACGATGCTGGAGCACGCGGGTTCGAGTCTGTCAGGAGATCCGTACTGGCACTCAAAACGGATCCCCTCAAGCCTCGCCTGGACCAGATCCGGAAGCAAGCTGATGATCATCGATCGTTGGCTCTGGTGTACGCATCTTATGCGCGAAAGCTCAAGCTTGAGACCTCAAAGATCGTTAGGATATTTGCTGATCTCTCTCGCAACTTCTCAGATCTTATGAACAAACCCCAATATCGGGCTCTCTTCAATTCTGATGCTGCGCCTATTGATGAATCAGTGCTACGCCAGTTGGAAAAGGATGTGAAAGAGCGTATCAAAGTCACGCGCCAGGTTATCAGTGAAGCTAAGGAGTCTTTTGATAACCAGCTCAAGATTCAAAAGTTGAAGGACACGATTTTCGCTGTGAATGAGCAATTAACCAAGGCAAAGAAGCAGGGGGCTTTCTCTAGCCTGATTGCTGCCAAATCAATTCCTAAGAGCTTGCATTGTCTGTCAATGCGGTTGATGGAGGAGCGGATTGCAAATCCTGAGAAGTATTCTGATGAGGGAAAGCCACCTGCACCCGAATTGGAGGATCCAAACCTTTACCACTATGCCATATTCTCTGATAATGTGATTGCAGCATCTGTTGTGGTCAATTCAGCGACCAAGAATGCAAAGGAACCATGGAAGCATGTCTTTCATGTTGTAACTGATAAGATGAATCTTGGAGCCATGCAAGTGATGTTTAAGTTGAAGGATTATAATGGAGCACACATTGAGGTTAAGGCAGTTGAGGACTACAAATTCTTGAATTCCTCGTATGTACCAGTCCTTAGGCAATTGGAATCCGCAAACCTGCAGAGATTTTACTTCGAGAACAAGCTTGAGAATGCGACAAAGGACACGACCAATATGAAGTTCAGGAATCCAAAATATCTATCAATCCTGAACCATTTGAGGTTTTACTTGCCTGAAATGTATCCTAAGCTGCATAGGATTCTGTTTTTGGATGATGACATAGTGGTTCAGAAGGACCTGACTGGTCTGTGGAAGATTGATATGGATGGAAAAGTGAATGGGGCAGTAGAAACATGTTTTGGGTCATTCCATAGATATGCACAGTACATGAATTTTTCACATCCCTTGATCAAGGCAAAATTTAACCCAAAGGCTTGTGCTTGGGCTTATGGAATGAACTTCTTTGATTTGGATGCTTGGAGAAGGGAAAAATGCACAGAAGAGTATCATTACTGGCAGAATCTGGTAAGAACTTTTCTCTTGGCATCTGCAGATCTGCTTTATCTGTTTACCCCTTTTTCTTTTTGTCATGCTTAATCTTAGACAATGCCATATTATAGGCTGCTAATAAAACCATTTAATATTTGATTCTTTTACAACATCCTGCTGTAAATTCCCATGAGGTTCTATGTTGTCTGAGCCTTGATGTTAATAAATGCACCGCTAGTTGCATTGTTAGAGACTGCATATTCTGAAATTAGGAGAGATCATAGGCATATTGATTGTTCTCGTTACTTTCTTTAGTTTGTAATATTTTGTAATTATACTTTTACCTTACATCCCTCCTTATCTATATCTAACTTGGGGTATCTTGATGTTGCTGCAGAACGAAAATCGAACCTTGTGGAAACTGGGGACGTTGCCACCAGGCCTGATTACATATTACGCAACAACAAAGCCTTTAGACAAGTCATGGCATGTTCTGGGGCTTGGCTATAACCCAAGCATCAGCATGGATGAGATTACGAATGCAGCAGTGGTGCACTTCAATGGTAATATGAAACCATGGCTTGACATTGCAATGACTCAGTTCAAGCCATTGTGGACAAAGTATGTTGACTACAATTTAGAATTCGTCCAGGCTTGCAATTTTGGTATCTAAATTTCTAAAGCTTCTGCTCTTCGGTTGCTACCAGCCTGCCACTGTATCTGGTGTCCACTTTAAGCCATTTGCTGTTTAGTTTTGATATCCAATACTCATAAGTTTGACATAATTTTTAGCTGTTGAAGGAAAAGTATTGCATCTTTCCAAGTGTAATATAGTTTAGTATAGCAATTCTCCTTTCCCTTTAATTTATTCTTAAGGTTTTTGTAATAATTTGATTTGAAAGATGTTGATCTAGAGGGGGGAAAAAAAGAAAGTTACTAAATCAAGTATTGTACCTTAAGCTATTCATTTATCTCAAAGTGAGAATTATCATATTACTACAAGATCATACCTATTTACTTGGAGTATTCCTTAATTTGTTTTCTCTGCTGGATGCACTTTTGGTTCATTTGACACATTTTCTTTTAATTGTCCATATAAATGACTCTTATTTAAAACATTTAATGTCATGTTATAAAACTGTTGTCTTTGCTCAAAAAAAAAATGTTATAAAACTGTTGTCATCATGAATCTGGGCAAGTTATTATCTGGTTGTAGAAGGGAAATATTGGATTTGGTAAGTAATCTCAGTTCATTTATTTAATGACTGTCTATGTTATAGTTATTAGATTTATCAATATTAAAATTTGTGGAGATATATTTCCTTTCAGACATTCAAAACAATTTTTACAATTAAAGCACTTCTTACATTTGTTCATCCTTCCAAAAAAATTGAGAAAAAATTGAGTTTTGGTATTTTGTGTGTTATGTGATTCTTGCAATTGTTTGATTAAATTAAACGGTTTTGATCATGTTATGTGAGATACTTATTAGGTGAGTGGATCGGATTTGGATTCAGAAACAACAAAGTTGATGCATTATAATTTATTTTTCAATGCTTGCACTTAGAAGTTAGTAGGCACTCATATTTTGCTGTGGGTGTGTTAATTTGTGTTTAGAGAAGGTGAAATGTTGTATAGTTTCATTTTACAGTTTCATGGGGAATCATGATTTATAATGCCTTCCATTATGTAAGATTCATGCTTTAAGTTGCACCAAATCTCAGATTTTCCGATCAAACTTGTATTAAAAACACAAGAATCTCGTTTGGTTATTACAAAAGAAAGGAAGGAGAATGCATTGAAAAATAAATGTAAATATAAGATAATCAAAAGAAAAAGTAAACACATTTATAAGAGGAGAGAGATAATTTATTTCATGAGGTTGAAAATTATAATTTATGATATTTTTGAATGGTGTGATAATTTTTACATTTATAATATATATTATTGAGTTTTATCATGCTTAGTATGAGAAAAATGTGATTTAGTTTATTTTTGTTTTAATTTTTTAATCTATTTTATTACATTTATTTTTAATAATTAAACGGGACCAAGGTTGTAAGGCCTAAAGACTTTTTATTATTGGATCTTAACTAAAGTTATCTATTAGACGGTGTTAACTGTGGTTTTACAATAATTAAAAAAAATGTTACTAGCATTTCATTGAAATATGATATTTCTGGAGAGGAACATTAGTTAAGATCCGCTAGTTAAAATTGGAAAAGAAAATTAATTTCTGGATTTCTGGAGAGAGAACATTAGTTAAGATCCATGATAATTTTCAATCTTATCCTTATTAATGTATTATAAATTTCTGGAGAACAATTTATTAAAATTAATTGCAAAAAAGAAAAATTGAAAAGTTACATACTTCTTTTTAAAACAATTTCTCAACAAGTGTGAATTTGGTTAAGTTCTTCTTATAATCTCTTAAAAAATATAAAATATTTTTATAGTTTAAACGTTAAAAAATACAAAACATGTTTAATGATTTAATATTATTAATGAGTTTTTAACTTTTTTTAAAAAAATACTTTTAATAAATAAACTACTCAACTTTTTAGCCTTAAATGAGACACTTATTAAATAAGGATGATATTAATTTAAAGATAATTAATTAATTATTTATAATTTTCAAGAGAGAGAATATTGAGTAGCGGAAGAGTAGGTGACTTTGCATGTTGCTTGCTTTCTTTCTAGTAACCATAGGCCTGTCGTTTGTTTCATTTGGACGCCTCATCCAATCAAATCAATCAAAGTTGATTTTAAATTTTGTAAGATAATTTTTTTAGCTGAATTAATTATATCAGAAAGCTATTTCAATTATCTTAATCCCATCCATTTGACTTTTTTCTTGGTTTCAATCCACCCAACTTGTTTTCAACTCTATTTCAATTATCTTGATGGAATCCAACCAAATCAATACATGAATCTATTTTACTTTTGACCAAATGACAATCAGAATGATTTTTTTTTTGTTTTTAATATTACAAAATTAGCATCGATCTTCCTCCAAAGCAAATGATGTCATAGAGAAAATGTCTCAACCGGGAAGAAAATATAATAGAAAATCCAAATGGTAACATCATATTGTTAAGTAGCCAGCCACATGCAAACCTGACAATGGCATCATCAAAGAACTATTTGTATTTTCTTTTTCTTGAAGTAAAGAAATATTTGACTTAAAATTTTGCCTGTTTAAAAACATTAAATATAAAAATAATGTAATTTTTTTTTTGGGTAATGGAAGTGTTTGGTCTATGTTGCAATAAATACCAAACCAGTTCCTTTGACTGGGTTGACCAATGGAGCTACATTAAAAAAATTGACCTACTGAGATATTGAATCCTATGAAACAAAATATAGACCAAACACTTCCATCAAGATTAATTCAAACCCATAAAATACTTTACCAGTTGAATCAAATGCTTGCTGATTATTAGTTTTTAAATAATAATTAATCTGTATTGTTAAATTTAATCTAAACAATTTAAATTTATAGTGGCGGCTTCAAGCAATTTCTCTGTATCTGTGTCATTCCCCACAAGCAATTTGCCTTGTACCGAACATGACATCTGAAGAAAATCTATCCAAAATATTAAGAGTTAATGAGAGTTTGGGTGAAAAGTAAAGTGATCATTAGTGGGCAATACCAAATTCTTGACTTTGGTTTCAGCCAAATCCAAATTTCGATTTCAATATTTCACTAACAACACCAACCGCAACAGATACAGAGTCAACATTAAGTCGTTTTGTTGCTGCTGCTGGTGTTAGTGAAATATTGAAATCGAAATTTGGATTTGGCTGAAACCAAAGTCAAGAATTTGGTATTGCCGTTGCTGTTGGTGTTGTTAGTGAAATATTGAAATCGAAATTTGGATTTGGCTGAAACCGAAGTCAAGAATTTGGTACTGACCACTAATTATCATGTTACTTTTCACCTAAACTCTCATCAACTCTTAATATTTTGAATAGATTTTCAAATGTCATGTTCGGTACAATGCAAAGTGCTGGGCGTAATAGTTAAATGAAGATAACAAAAATAATATTTATTTTATTGTTAGTGGTACTGTGACAAAAATAATTCAGTTTATGTAAAATTTACGAGAAGTCTTAGTAATTTATTGTTTATTTTTAGGAGAATTTCGTATACGTTTTGACTTTTGACATTAAAAAAGAAAAATATGTCTAAATAATCATTATATAATAATTATTTTTAAAGTCTTTTGGAACTTACATGACATTATTTTCTTTTTTTGGCAACACTAAGTTTCTGATTTTCAGCAAAATAATAGAAAAACAATAACACAGCTAGCCATAACTTCATCTTCTAAAACAAAAAAAAAAAAACAAAAAAAAAAGTCAATTTGCGTTCACTCCGTTATTTTGTAAAAGGTTAGAAATGTAATTCACAAAAATTTATGTCAGATAGATATTTAAAAATTTTAAAGAAATTACTCCAATTCATAGTATTCTTCTATTATTTGCCTATTCCAATATGATTTATTCAACATTCTTCCTAATTTTTTAAAAGATTTTTTTTATGAAACAAAATCTTTTTTTTGATACAATGTAATATTTTTTTCATTTTTATTCTATCATTCAGCGTCCTGAGACACTTGAAAGTATTAATACCTCTTGCTTAAACTAATTTAAACCCCTACTATATGAAACTGTTATTACTAATGATAATCTCATGAATACCCCACAGAAACCTTTAAATATTTTATTTAACATGACTGCGAATCTCAAAACTCAATCAAGAGCCTATAATAAACTGGTTCAATTATCTCGACCAACTAAACCAAATGTCCTTCAGTAATCCAATTAGCATTGTCAATCCTTCCATTAATCAAATTAGCACTGTTAATCCTATAAAAAAAATTAAGATCCACTTTTTTCTAGGAAGAACCTGTGTCGGTCAAAAATGGGCATACAAAGCCCACAATGTACAAAGAAAAAAAATCCAGAAATCATCCCTCTTCTATTAACACCAGCAGCGCAAACACGAGTATTTAAAACATCAAGATCCTAATATAAAAGTAAATACACATGAATATATCAAGCATAATTTAAAATAAATAAATGATGAGTGAGGAAAGAGAACAGATTATTATACACAAATTACATTCTTTGTTGTGTCTCTTTCATGTATGAACACAGATTCGATTTGTTAGGTTTGGCAGCAAGCAGCCACAATAAGGAGCAAGTATGATGAACGAAACCAAACAATGGATACAAAAGGCTATGAAATGTAGCTCAAAATTCAACTAACTGCCAAGTTTTACATAAATCATCTCCAAAGTTTCATTAATATTTCTTCAGAAATGCAACAATGCCCCCTAAATATTCATAAAACCGGGGAAGCACAAAACTTCCTACGCAAGTTGTACGCTATACTGAACCCAAATTGGAAAATTAAAGACCCCAAAAATCATCAATTCTCAAGAGAGGGGGACCTACCTGACTTACTGGTAGCTCATCCACAAAAGAATTCAATTTTTTTTCCTTAATGCTTTCCAATACTGGAACTACTGTACTTAAAAAGGAAATAATCTTCAGTCCTTGCCTTGATTAGAGATGATTGCTCATGCCGGCGCAGGAACAGATGTAGCTTTTGCCATTGAATTAATGGCCAGCCCACCAGAGCGATTCACACGGCCACCACCATTGTTTCCGGTGTGATCAACTCTCTGATAACCATTGTTTCCACGGCTGGAATACCCTCCTCGACTGCCATTCCTGTACCCAGATTCAGCCCGGATGAAGTCAGCTCCTCTTCCATAATTTCGGCCATTTCCATGGTTTCCACGTCCTCTTCCACCCTCAATTCTGTATCCTGCACCCCTACCGGATGAGAACCGTGGCCTGTTATTCCCTGGAAGTCAGCGACAAACAGTTGAATTTATAGTCGACACCTTACAGTCCACCATCAAGACTGCAAGCTAAAGGCAAAACTCAACCTCAAAACAATCAATCGTAGAAGTAGAAGCTGAATGTAAATGCAAAATCATATCCAACCAAACAATAATGAAAAGATACGACAAGAATAGAAGTAGATGCCTTATAGTCGAATCCAACCGACTTCATAGTCAACACTCTATAGCCCACCATAGAGTATAGAAGCTAAAGGTAAAACTCGACCTGAAGAACTCAGAATTTCAGAAACGCTTTGGCATCCTTTCCTCAAGACAATTGTAAGATGGGAGGTGAGGATACCACTTAACATATGAAATCCAGATTTATTTCTTACGTTCCCAAGTAACTTCAGAATGCACATTTTCATGTTTCTACAGAGGGAAAACTGGTCATAGTCATACAGTTCTCAACCAATCACTCAGTAGAACTTGGGGCAAACTCAGGAAAAAAGCGAGTTCAAGACCAAAGTGTACTGCGTTCAGAGACAACCAATAGATCTTTTTACTGCTTTATCATATGGGAGTTATTGGTGAATAAAATATCTGAAGAATTAGTCGTCAATAAATAGCTATGGCTTCACACAATTTATGTAGCTAACTTCACTTAACAAAATGGAGGCAAGGCTTCTTGTTATTGTTTGTTTCATCCCCGATTGCAGCCAAGATTGTTAATTTAAGAAAGACCCAGCTCAAAACACACAAGTCTGCATGTCATCAAGTGAAATTACACAACACACCCAGTGAGTCATAGGAACAACAGCCTCATACACACAGCATTCTTCCTTCTCTCCCCAGCAAGAAAAATATCCTCACTTCCCAGGTACCGTTCTTCCTTCCGTTGAATGTCTGGGAGCTAAACTTCAAGCTATCCCTGCAGCCATCTCCATCTCCGTCTTCCAATTAAAAACTATTAAAAATGTGAACTTTTATGATTCTGACCCGCCCCCAAAAAAAAAAAAAAAACCGTGACTCATGAGTTTGCTTACAATTGTCACAACCTTGACCAGGATCTGACCAACAATTAGATAGGGTGAAATCCTAAACCAAAATGTAATAGAATGCAAACAAAGAGTCTAATCCTCCCCACAATCCAAACAGTAATCTTGTTGACATGTCAAGCATATACATAAACTGCGCATGGGAATCTACTCTATAATCATTCCAGGCTTAATTTGAAAATATAAAATAACAACTTGCCTCGATTAGTTGATCTCTTTTCCTCAACAAAAGCTTTGCGCCCACTGATGACAATTGGTGAAGCCTGACATTCCAATCAATAGTAAAGATGCATGTAGAAATTTACATGAAATAATAAATGTCCACAAGTTAATAGACCTAGTATCAGGAAATTGCACGCAGAACTTCTCCTTTTTTCTTAAAAAAATTACTAGATAAGTAAATGAAAAAAGTACAGATGCAAATTTAAGAGAAACCTGGAAAATGATGGCTACAAAAATCTAAAACCAAAAAAGGAAAAGCAGAGCAAAGGAAATTTAACCTATCTCCTTTTAAGATTAATAATCTAATGAGTGAAGGGAAATTTGCGTTTCAAAGCTAGTATAAGACAATCTGAATATTATTAACTACAGTGATTCCTGCTCCACAAGCTCACTCCACGAAAAGAAAGCCCAAAAGATTTAAATGCTAGATCTGAAGAATACCTCAAGTGCACTTTGCACCGCACTAGCCACTTCAAACTCCACAAAGCCAAAGCAAAATCCCTGTTTAATTCATTCATAAATAAGAACAATAGGCTATAAATTGATAATACAAAGCAGAAAATGGATGTGTGACATACCCTTTGGCTTCTAACTTGGATACCATCACGCTTAATAGGACCAAACTTCTTGAATTCACTCTCCAGAAGAGAAGGTGTAGCATTTAATGGCAGACTTTTCACAAAAATAGAATAACCCTCAGCTATACAAAGAATAATACAATGTCAATACATCTCAGTGATGAATAAAAACCAAAGGCAGATCAATTCAGAAGAAAATAAATTCATTCTGATAAAGGGGCACCACACCTTCAGTTTCTTGATTGTTTCCTGGTACAGCAACCATTGTGTTAGAACAATTCATTTCTGACACACTGGGTGCTGAAGATGCAGCAGTTGCATGTTGCTCCAGGCTTTTAGGGGCAGATCTCACAGAAATAGCTGTTGCCACAGGAGATGCTGCGGCACTCTCCTTCATGACCTATACCATGAAAGATATTCACTTGTTAGATAAGGAAACAAGGAACAACAGCAGTTACCATTGATCCTACCAAAGGAAAGAAGATCGTTCCAGCAATTTATGACTATCTTATTCCCAACCACACAAAAACTCCAAGGCAGCATTCCGAACATAACTCAATATGAGTCAGGAAACATCATAAGAAGGTAATTCAGAATAGCTACTGACAATAGAGGCATATGACTTCTTAGGCACTTCTTCAATAATAGAAGTAGAACCAGCGACCACTAGTGAATCATCAGGAATTTCATCAACCACCTCAGGTACAGGAGCTTCTTCTTCTTCAGTTGGAGCTTGCCCATTTTCAGGATTGTATACCTCCTCTCCATTGACATCCTCAGCCGGTGGAACTATTTGCTCAGAAACATGAATCTGCTGCAAAGAAGGATCTGCTGCCAAAAAAAAAAAGAATTTACAAGTGGACTACAAGAGACCATGAAATTTTAATTTAAGGTAGGCATTATAATACCATTATCAGGAGTAGCAGGAGCTTCAACAACATCGATAGAGTGCTGGTTTTCATTGTCGTTAACATATCTGAATACATCATTCAAGACAAAGTACCCTTTTTCTTGAGGTGCAAGGAAGAAACATTGCGAAAATTTTTGCCTCTTGCAGTCTTTTCCAATCATAAACCCAGTGACCAGGACAAGAACACCCCCACCATAAGATTCTTGTGCATCCACAGATATGATTTCTGCAATGAACTCATCCAGCGAGAGTATTTTCTCATTAATATCCTGCTTCATGAGAATACAAGAAAATAAGTAAAAGGACATGAGCTTTAATTCTAACCTCTTTATTATTTCATAAATCGGACTCCATTGGATAATACATAATACCAAATTATAAAATAACATAATAACCTTCATAGAATCAATTGTAAAAACAACAAAAATAACAAGCCTTTATCCCACTAGGTGGAGTCGACTACATGGATTGCAAGACACCATTGTGCTCTATCATTCACCAAGCTTTTAGAAATATTATTAATTAAGAGATCGCATTCAACAACGTCCAAGAGTATTCTCTTACGTCTTTTTCTACCCCTCTTAACAAGGTTCAAAGTTATATGTTCCATTCTTCTCACTACTGCCTCTCGCAATCTTCTTTATACATGCCCAAACCATCTCAAATGATTTTCTACCATTTTGCCTTCAATAGGTGCTACCCTCACTTTTTCACGTACGTACTCATTTCAAATTTTATCTTTACGTGTATGTCCACACATCTATAGTAACATTCTCATCTTTGCTACTCCAACTTTATGCTCTTGTTGTCCCGTTAGAGCCCAACATTCACTACTATATAACATACCTGGTCTAATAGCAATACAATAAAACTTTTCTTTAAGTTTATTAGGCACCTTACATTTGCAAATAACTCTTTTAGCTTTTCTCTAATTAAACAGCCCAACTTGAATCCTATGTGAAATATCCCCATTGATTTCCCCATCATTTGTAACAATCGAACAAAAAGAAGAAATGGAGAGATGTCACTGAGAATTAGTGACTTAGGCCAATAGATCTTAAAATCACTTCTAGGGTCACAACAATGACAGAGCCTAAATTCACCACGTGATGGAAGCATTTGTGCATAAATCAACAATGAGGATTGCCACTCAGACCCTCTGATCTTCTCAACCAGCCTCTTCTCACTAAAGAATATTGGTGCATCTTAAACAAAAGGTGAATCCCCCTTGACAAGAGTACATCAAACCAAGTATTGAAAGAACACTCCAATAGGCAGCCTACACAGCTTCCCATTTCTTGGTTGTGAAGAGTATCACAAAATGCAACACCCTTGTTACATATTGCTTAGCTTGGCAAATTGGCTCTAAAAAAGATGTCCTTGTCAGCCATCACCTATGCTGCCCAAGCAATCAGATAAGCAAATTCACCCAAGCCTTCAAAGCTTTGACTAATGCAGATCGTAAATTGTATAATATATCAGAACGGAATTTGTCTCTATTGGACCCTGTACTAACCAAAGAGAAAAGACCTAAGATTAAGAGGCAAACCATGGCAACCCTCTGTCCATCTATTACAAAGAGGACAAGTTCTAATGGTCAGGCAGCCCAAGTTGCAGGTTCCTTTTGGCAGAAAAACGACTCACCAGCTAACCCTAACAGAGATTGGAAAACCTTTGGTGGATGAAGCTCTCTCTGAAGTTAATCATGTTCATAAGGAAGCTGACTAAAAGAGCCATCACAATAAGCGATAATTTAAGAATTCATCATTTGTAAGTCAAACCCAGATTGTATATTTTGTAATGCTTCCACAAAACATTAAATCACACCTTTCAAAAGTGTGCCTTTGCAAGAACAGTTTAGATTGCCTCACCACTTTCACTCGTATCTGATGTAATCCAAGTCTCATGAGCAGCAAAGCTATACATCATTGGTTCAGGAATCATTACAAACCCCAATGGGAAGAATTAACCAAACTTTCCATCACCATTCTTCATTGTACATGGGAAACTAGGAACAAGACCATGCACGTAGGCATGAATCCAAATTCAATGGCAATCTTAAGACAGATCAATTGCAGGACGCATTCTAACTTTCTATCCTGGTAAGGAAACGATTTGACCAGAGAACAAGCAGCGTAGCTCCAAAGGAAGACCAAAAGGTAATATCATAAATGCCAGACAAGGATGGGAGATCATAATCCTTTTCAATAAACTACTCTACAAAGAGGGATCAGGCTCAACAGGTAATCCTATACAATCACATGATGATATGGTATTTTAAAAAAAATCAATTCAGTGCCATTAGAGATGTTTTAAATTTCTTTCCTAAATGGACATCTTTTAGGACCTACAGAGCTCTACTCTGCCAGTCCTCCTCATCAAAGAAAGCAAGAAGGAGTAACAAAAAATGATAAATTCTTTCAATAGTGTCAATTTAATAAATCAGGTCATTAGAAGTTTTGGTCCAACATGATCAACTCCCCTTTCCTTTTAAATTTTTTTTAATAGCAAATTTTAACTTTGCTTTGAAGTAACCAAGCAAGCTAAAATTAAATCCAGGTGACCAAAGAGCCAAGAGTCTCAGATAATTGCCTAAAAAAAAATCAATTGTAAAGCTAAACTGATCATAGATTAGATATGAATACAGGTATAAAGGTATGGGAGAGAGAAAGACAACAAAAACTCACTTGCATTGTGGTTGTAATACCCATTATACCATTTTTTCCAGGGCGACCAAGCTTACTAATATCTTGGTAAAACTTATGCACAAGTTCAGGGCTTTCATGCAGCATATGGTAATACTGCTCAACAAAAGCATTACCAACCTGTATTGCAGTTTCAGGTAAAACAAGTCAGAAGATTAACAAATAAACATATGCTACACTATTCAGCGTCAGGATATACATACAATATCAGCTGCAGGATGATTTTGAGCTGGGGCTAGCTGCTCTGAAGATGCCATCACCAAAGATATCTGAAAACCAACCGAATAACTAATTTGCAACCATGAAAACAATAAGCATGCCTTTAATCAAGAAAGACTCTAAAGAGAAAAGGGGACAAAAAAAAAACATACGAAAGTGCAAAACTAATGCAAGTATCAATTCAGAATAACCGCCCAGTAGAATAATAGTCTAATACAAGGAATAATTGATTGTTGAGTTTCCATGAATCAGTGTACTCTTTGCCAAAGAAGAACTTGAAATTATATAACAAGGCTATCACAATCATCCAAAACGGCTACGACCAAGAGACAAAAGATATTAGACTAAAACGTATCCTCCATAAAATCATCCTGTAAGAGTTCATTCCGCTAACAGATATAGCCCAAAGAATTTGTAATAAGTTCCGCCTCATTTGCAACGACTTTCAGACAGTGCGCATCATGCCTCAGGCTCAAATTCCTGATCAGGATAAGTACCCCAGCCATAGAAAACTAAATTTTACAATTTAATTTAATTTTTCTACGACACAAGAAGATAGTAGATGCGAACGAAAGACATTTTCAACTCAAATTCCCGGTTCGCAACAGGACTTCACCACCTCCCAGAGAACATAAAATTCCACACGAAGTACAGTAAATAAATTTCCGCGGGATTTTTCGCTACGCCATCAAAATCCCGCCTCAGACTAAATCAAGCCGCAACATTTCACGCAGAGAGACCCACATTTCCAAATGAAATGTCCCCGGAAAAAGAAAAAAGGAAGAGGCTCGTGAATTTATAATCAGTAGGGTTTTGGAACCTAACCAGATAAAAAGAGAATGGATCGCGGGATGTGAAGAAGAGGAGGAATTTGTTCGCGTGGCTCTAACGACTTCTCAGCTCCTTCTTCGCTAGGGTTTGCTTCTGGATCTTGCTGAGGAGTGTGAAGGAAGAAGAAATGTTAGAGAGAGACAGAAAGAGAGAGGGTTTAAGAGGGAAGAGGCTATATATAGGGGATCTTGTGAAAGGGAACCGTGAGAGAGCATTGTTTTTTATTGTACGACCAATTACGGGCACATGTTCACATAATATTATTCCCTTCCATTTTCATATTCATTTAATATAAAAATTACTATTACTAATTACTAGAAAGCTTGATTATTCATGGGTTGCTCTTATTAATTTTTTCCACAAGCTACGCTAATTTTTTTATATAATAAAAAAAATTAATTAAAGGAACATTAGTACACATAAAACTCCAATTGATATAAAAAGGTAAAATCACATAAAATGACCACCCACGTATATCAATGACATAATAGTAACAGTATTAAAAAATGTGTAATTATTTTGAAATTTTCAAGGACTTTTCTGGTATTCTCTTTCTTTTCTACAAAATATCTTTTTTAACCCTTAGCAAAAGTTGGTGATTTTCATGTTTGTTTTTGGCCTAATTTCATCTCTATCATAGTTAAATGGGTCTATCCTGACCCAAAACTAAACAAGATGAATGAAAAAATATGTTCAAGATGGGATAAAATATAGGAATACCATCAGGGCTCTATCCCATCCTGAATTATTATTATATTCTTTGTGTTCTCTTATTAATATTTAATTTAATATTTTATTTATTTAGCTAGAATGAATATTTTTTGTTTATTTATTTTTGTTTTATTTTTATGCTCATTTAAGTTATGTAACTTAATGATTATGTTATTGTTATGGCATTTGTAACTTGGGTGTCGTTTGTAGTTGTGTGATCAACTTTAAATTCCAATTAGTGTGATTGCATTCTTTCACTTTAAATTGTAATTATTGTAACTCAATGATTGAATTTATTTATTATATTTTTTGATTTTAGACTCAATAAGTTATAAAATTTAATAAACATTGTTTTACAAATCTCTCTTTTATATTTTATTTGCTTTATTAGAACATTTTGGTTTTGTCCCATCCCAAACCTAAATAAGACGGGACGAGATGGGATACAAAACAAGAATTTAGCCCTATGTATTTTTTAGGATGAGACAGGACTATCTTAATTCCATCTTATCTCATCCCATGAACACTCTTAGAAATAAACATCCAAACAGAGTTATCATTTATTATTCTTTTAAAGTTATTGACTCAAAGTTGTTATTTCCTAAATTAAGATAATCATTTGAAAAAATAATTTTAGTAACTTAGTTGTCATTTGCTAACATCTTTCAGTCACAAGGACAATTGAAGTTGTCAATTTCCAAACTGAAATAGTCATTGAACTTTTAGTATTAAATTTGACTAATAAAGTGATTTCAATTGCTTTGTTATCATTTGCTAATTTATTTTAATCACGGCAGAATCAAGATCATCATTTTTTCAAATTGAAATAGTAGTTGTTATTTGTTAATTTGTTTTAGTCAATGGCACAATCACAAGTTGTCATTTTCCAGACTGAGATTTTCATTATCATTTAACATATTTCAATATTGAAGTATTTATAGGAACAACTTTCAATTATCAAAAGATCAACAGTAGTGTTTATGAGACATGATTCAGTGAACTCTGTCATATATTATTAATTGATTGATCTGCGTGTAGAACTGACACAGATGAATGATGGATAATCTCTGAAATTTCCATGATGATTCACCTCCTTGACAAATTCCTTAGAGTACTACAAATTCCCCAAAGCCCCATATCATGATTCAATTCACATGGTGATATAGACGCCAATTGCTAACTTGAGCAGTAACTATGATTCTTTTTTTTTTTTTTAAACTATAAATTTGTATGGTCCAATTCTATCTTCTTATTTGGCGAAAATACACCCATACATAGTGGGACTCTTTTAGCCAATAGCCAATTAATAGGACCCACAATGACAACATATGGTCATTCTTTGAATAGATATGGGAATAAAAGTTGAGTTTAATCAATTGCCCGTTTAAATTTGTTTTTTATGAGGGTTGGAGTTAAAATATATATATATATATATATATATTAAAGAAGTTAAGTTTTGAAATTCAACTTTAATAAGCATTGAAAAAACATGCTCGATTAGCCTGTTTAAATCTATTTTTATTTTACCCTTAAAAAAATAAAATATTTTTAATTTTTAAATTTAATTTGAACTCCAGAATATATGTTTATATTTGAAAATGAAAATTAAAATGTTTATTATTTATTTTTAATTTTTAAACATTATAATTTGTATTTTAAAAAGAATATGCAATATTATAATTAAAATTTTTAATTTTTAAAAATTTAAAAATAAAAATAGGGTTGCAAGCCAGGCTTTGAGTCTTATGAATAAGGACCGGCTTTTAAAAAATGATTAATTGAACTTATGGGCTTGAACCCATATATGACTATGAAGGAGATTCTTCAATTGGTGACAACTGGGAAGAATTCTTTTAAACATTGTTTGGAATTTTGGCCTTGGAAGTCACCTTAGAATAATTAGGCCATTCCAAGGTCCTAATATGGGGTTTTCAAATTTATAGGAATTTTTTTTTTGGTAATTCTCCCATAAAAAAATCATCTTGGGCTTACAATTGAAGAAAAAATGAACACAAATTAAAAGACTATATAAACAAAAGAGCCCATCAAAACTATTAGGCTCATAAAAACTTCCTAATACTTCATTTGATATAGTAAAAATAATTTTGATGGAAATGAAAATGGATGTCAAAACAAAAATGAAAATGGATTTAAAAATATGTTTGATTCAAGTATGAAAATCTAATTTAATTTTTAATTAATATATGCATTTAAAATGAGAAAAATACAAAAACACCCTACAAATAAAAAAAAAAAAACTCCACTCCAACCCCCTCCTTGAATAAACAACAGCACTGACAAATTTGGCGTCATCAACCCCCCAAAAACCATGTACAAAAATCATGAAAAGTAGGAGCAAAAATCAAGTGCTAGAAATAGAAGAAGATGGTGAAGCGAGGGTGAAGAAAGTAGATGATGAAATCTACCATTGAGCTTCAATAATTTCCAGATCGCGAAATTGCTGGAGGTTGCCAGAAGTCATTGGTTGCAGATCTTGAAGACAATGGTTTTCTTCCTCCTCACCCAAAGCCAATGGGTTGTGAAAGAACAGTGTGAGTGAGCGAGGATGAGCAAAGGATAGATGATACCCACGATTAATAGCACGAGCTACGATGGCTCAATAATGGAGGTCGAAGGTTGGAGATCAAATGAGAGTGAAGGGAGTAGAGGCATTGAGTGAACTTGCTATTGGTTGATGTCAGCTTAGGTGGTGCTTCCTGTTGAGGATGGAGGAAGGGCATTGACGAGCGGAGGGGGAAAATGAAAACATAACTTGAAATTTGAAAAGTTGATTTTTTTTTTTTTATAAAACTCAATTTCATCAATTTTGATCGAAATGACTTCCATGAGAAAGTCTAATCCAACATGATTTTAACAAACTAGACTTAAAAAAATTTTAATTTTATTTTTATAGTCATTTTTACCCTTTTAATTTTATTATACCAAATAAGTCCTAACGTAACGTGTGACAACAACAGTTGAAGAGAATAAAATTAATAATTAATCAACATCACAGGGAAATTATAATATTTGGAGTGAGCTGTAGGGAAAGCATTGTTGCTATTAGAATGAAGGCTTCCAAATGTGGATCACAAAAACCATGAGATTGAAAGATCCCATATGACCATCTAAATCATGTATTAACTAGAACTGTTGAAAAATCCAGTAAAAAATCTTGTTTTGATACCCTTGAACATTATCCTTAATAGCTAGTAGCCTAAACATAATCAAATGTGACAGCTTCTTAGGATTAAATGAATCATTTATATAAAAAGCAGAGTCACAAAACAACAAGACAACCTGAGAGGAGAAAAGCTCACTCATGGTTCATTAGCCTTTTTGCTTTAAAGCCCATTTACTAACCTGAGTCCACATCTTATTGTATTCATCCACTAAGGCTTTCATTTATTTGAGCATTGTGAGACTTTTTTTTTTTTGGCCCCTGGACACACACAACTACAACAAGAACAACCAGGTTGAGTGTCATTGAGGAAGAAACATGCAGGACTTGTCTCCCAAAATTGATTAAGCGTGTTTCAGTAGGATGAGACACAGTATTGGATAAAACACGTACACTGTTAGTAATTTTTGAATGTTCCATGCATTTCATGGCTACAGTTAATTTTAGGCTGTAATTCCTAACATGGGCCTACAAATTATTTTTTTATTTAATTGATGTCAATTTTTTTTATTTTTAAAACAAGATTTATTCCTGTGCATTTAATATTTAAAAGATAAAAAAATAATTTATTTTTGTGTACTCAAAATAACATTTTTTGTTAATTTTTATAAATTAAAATTTTAAAAATAATTTATTCTATAGTAAAACTTGTTTTGCCCTTGCATATTAAAGATAAAAATAATTATTCATTTTATCTTAAAAGCGTGTTATTCCTGAGACACATTTGTATTCTTCCTTTGATTAATATGTGAACAAATTTTGAAATCAAGTTAAAAAATATAGTTCTTAATTCTTACTAATTCCCCCCATAATTAATCAAAGAAAAAATTTGCCCTACGAAATATTCCTGAATCTATTATTAGTTGTCTCTTGTAAATTAAAATCTAAGCAATAATTTTTATTTTGCAATATGCTACCCTAATCGTAAGGGTAACTTTTTAACATACATTAGGGCATTATGTATATTAAAAAGTATAAATAGTATTTTTTAAAAAAATTCTCATCTCCTGCAAATTTTAATATAATTAACTTATTTTCTTTAAAAATTTGTTGGCCTATGCATCATCCTAAGAAAAATAAAATATATACTATAATTTATATCATAATAGTATTTATAAATTACAATTATAGCCAAAAGTAAAAAATAAAATAATATATATATATATATATTAAAAATGATTTTAAATTAAGAAAATAATATAGTCAATATTATAATACTCCATCTTGTCCTATATATAAATCAATTTTATCTATTCCCTT